GTGCCAAGTACAGTGCCTAAGCATTAGAGAGCTTGTGGCCAGACACAGGGAAAGAAAAGGAAAGAAAAATATAAACGGAAAAATATGTGTTCAATTTAAGCCATCCAATTAAAAATAAATTGAGATTAAATGGTGTAACCCTGTAACAGAAAGAGTTTAAGTCCCCTGAGAGAGAGAATTAAAATGCATTCTCTCAAAATAATATTTTCATTTTGCTGCTGTTTTTCTTTTTAAGTTTATTTTTTGAGGGGGGAGGGGCAGAGAGAGAGAGAGAGAGGATCCCAAGCAGGTTCTGCACTGTCAGTGCAGAGCCCGATACAGGGCTCGAACTCATGAACTATGAGATCATGACCTGAGGTGAAATCAAGAGTCAGATGCTTAACCAACTGAGCCACCCAGACGCCCCTGCGTTTTCATTTTGTAGTGGGTGGCCGACCCTCTGCTCAAAAGGCAACTGAGCCAAGTACTATTCCCCATGAGTTTTCCATGAAGCCTTATCTTTGAGCCTCTGCTCTGGCTGTTCCCTCTGCCTGAAGTCCTTTTCCTCTTATTCTCTTTGGCTTAACCTTTTAGGCCTTCTTCCAGCATCTTGCCTCCCCGAGCTTTCAACATTTGTTGCCTGCACTGTTCATCTGTCCATCTCGCTCTGTCTAGTGATAGCCTTTGTATTTCTGTCTTGAGTTGCTATTTAAATTCCTGCATGTTTGTCTTCTTTCCTTAATGCTGCGGCTCCTTGCCCAGTGCCTGCCAGCCAGCCGCGGGCATGATGGATTCATCCATTCGTCAAGCCTTCGCTGAGTGCACCCAGCCCTGAGCTTAGGGTTTAGCATTCAGAAGTAACCAAGGCTTGGCCCCTGAGACTTTGTGCTGGTGAAATTTTCAGGCAGTCTCCAGGGTGAGCCCTAGTTCCCGTTTATAAGCTGACTGGTATATTGCCGCGTACTCAGATTACATGTAAAAGAAGTCTTTCTTCCTCCAAAGATTTCAGGCTTAAGGAGTAGCTAATTGAAGAACACTTAGAGAGAGTTTCCTGCTTATGGACATTAATTGTGACAATTTACTTGGCCTGAATTAGCATGAAATCATTGGAGGCCCCTTAGCAGGAAGCAAAGCTCCTGGGAGGCTATTAACCGTTTAGCATTCTTTAAGCACCAGGGAATGAAAATTCCACTTATTGAAGAGCAAGAGGAGAGGCAGCCTGTGTTACAGCTAAAGCATTGTGCTTGGAGATGTAGAGAGTTACAGCCGTAGCCAGTGTGAAAGAGAGTGTGTAGCAGGGCAGTTTGAGCACCTACATACCAGCTAGGTTGCTCTTGAATGTGTTGACAAACGAAATTAAGTTGGTGGTGAGCACGTCGGGAAAGTCTGGACAAGGCTTCCCTGGCATGGCAGCCAGTGTCTGCATCATGCCAGTTCCCATCAGTGTCTGCGAGGGTCACTGCCACTGTCAGTGCTGACTTGGCCACTTCCCAGGAGGGAGGCGTGTTTGTTCCTGATGGTGGGGGCTGGTGAGATGGGTGTGGAAGGGTTGCCTGGCCAGGGTAAGCACACTGTCCTCTTTGGGGAGATTATTAGTATGGCTTTTATGGTGGGAGGGGACAAGGAAGAGGGGAAGCAGGTGGAGCCCAGGCCGCAGGAAACGGGGGGAGGGAGAGAGAGGCGGGGGGAGGAGCAGAGTGACAGGAGCTGGTGAGGCACGGCCGGCCGGGTGCCGAGTGCGCCTCTGTAGGGCATGTGTGCCAGTTGTGAGGATCTGTCCCAGGTAGTCGGCAGCCCTAGCTGCCTCACTTGACTTGGCTGTCTGCGAGAAGCCAGTTTTGTTTTGCTCAGGACTGTCAGACGGTAAGCTGCCACCCTTTCCGGAGAATGCAAACAGTATATATTTATAGAGACCTAGTCCACTGGTCCTTGACTGGGACAGGCATAGGCGGGTGCCCTGCAGGGTTTCCAGGACAGCTTTTATTTTTTTTTGAAATTTTTCTTTAATGTTTATTTATTTTTGAGAGAGAGAGAGAGAGATGGTGGGGAGGGGCAGAGAGAGAGAGGAAGACACAGAATCCAAAACAGGCTCCAGGCTCTGAGCTGTCAGTACAGAACCCGACGCGGGACTCGAACTTGGGAATGGCGAGATCATGACCTAGGCCAAAGTTGGACACTCAACCAACGGAGCTGCCCAGGCGCCCCAGCTTTTTTTTTTTTTTTTTTTTTTTTAACGTTTGCTCATTTTTGAGAAATGGAGAGGTAGAGCATGAGTGGGGGAGGGGCAGAGACAGAGGGGAGATGCAGAATCCAAACCCACGAATAGCAAGATCATGACCTGAACTGAAGTTGGATGCTTAACAGACTGAGCCACCCAGGTGCACCTCTTTTTAAATGTTTATTTGCGGGGGAGCTAGAGAGAGGGAGGGGCAGAGAGAAAGGGAGAGAGAGAGTCCCAAGCAGGCTCTGCAATGTCTGTGCAGAGCCCACCATAGGGCTCGATCCCACAAACCATGAGATCATGACCCAAGCCCAAACCGAGAGATGGATGCCCAACTGATGAGTCACCCAGGCGCCCCGAGGACAGCTCTCTCTAGTGTTGCACCTCTGGGTTCCGCCTTGGACTTAGTGTGTCTGGTCTCCAGGAGCGGACGCCGGGGCACAGGACTCAGATGCACCCTTCAGGAGATTCTGTGGTGCACCCTGGCCAGGGCCGCTGGCCTCACTCAGGCCCCCTTACACCAGGTTCTGGGGAAGCACAACCCAAGGAGTTCACTACCCACCCAGGCAGCTTATTCCATCTTTGACTTTGCTGTCGTGTCTTCCGTGGTATTTGCTCAATCCCTCCTCTCCGTGGGTCCCTCAGATATTGAAGGATTAGGCTTTAATCTAAGTCCTTATGTTTGCCTCCATTAATAGCTGTGAAAACAATCTCTGGAGCAGCCTGACTTGCAGATGCACTAAGAGAGAGGAGAACAGGAAAATGGAAAAGAAACGCTAGTGTTCAGATAGGGAGAAAGATGGCAGACGTATTTTCAAATACTTTCATACTGTTTTTCTTTTCTGGTTGCAAAAGTAATGGTTGAAATTTGAAATTCGAAAACACTGAAAACCCGAAGAAGAAAACTAAAGACCCCTAATCGCATCTACCAGATATGACCATGGTTAATATTTTCATGGACGTCTTTCTCCTTCAACTACAGATTTGTAAACTTCCTTTTCTCTCACAGTGACAAGATTATTTTTTGAATTTCATTAATATTAATCCATGCTGTCATTATTTTTTAGTTTATTTATTTATTTTGAGAGAGAGAGAGAAGAGAGAGAGAGAGAGAGCGCACACAGGCGAGGGGAGGGGCAGAGAGAGGGAGAGAGAATCCCAAGCAGGCTCTGCACTGCCGGCACAGAGTTGGATGCGGGGCTCGAACTCATGAACCGTGAGACTGTGGAGACTGTTACCTGAACCGAGACCAAGTCAGAAGCTTTACCGACTCAGCCCCCCAGGGTCCCCCATGCCGTCATTATTGAAAGCAGCCACGTATCAGTCAGTGTTTGATTGGATATTGGGACTCAATGGTGGATAGTTTTCAGGACTTTGAATTACTCTCAGCCAAGGAGGACCTTGCAGAGCTCATCCTCTTGCCATAGTGTGACTGACACCCCACAAGGCCTGACCCTGGCTCATGCCTCTACTTGCCCAGTGGGCAGCCAGGTAATGTTTGTCTCGATGATTTTTGTGTTGCTTTGGACCTTGATCTGAAACTGTCCAGAAATTACTAAGGTCTTGCCTGCATCTGAGAAATGTTTCTTGAACTTGAGATCCTATAGCTTTTCTTTTGAGCATCACCAACTGATTTGAGTGCCGAAATTCCCTGTGGGAACTGGCTCTTCAGATCTCCAAAGGACCAGAACAGTCCATGCTGAATGAAATAAGTCAGGCAGAAAAAGACAAATACCATACGATTTCACTCATATGTGGAAGTTAAGAAGTAATACAAATGACCAAATAAAAAAAATAAAAGACAAACAAAAAAGAAACTAGACTCTTGGGGGCACCTGGGTGGCTCAGTCAGTAAAGCTTCCGACTCTTGACTTTGGCTGTGATCTCACAGTTTGTGGGTTCAAGCCCTGCATCAGGCTCTGCACAGATACTGCAGAGCCTGTCTGGGATTCTTTCGCTCTCTTTCTGCCTCTCCCCCGCTCATGCACTCTCTCTTTCTCTCTCTCTCTCTCTCAAAATAAATAAGTAAACATTAAAAAAACAAAAACAAAAACCCAGATTCTTAAATATAGAGAAGAAACTGGTTGCCAGAGGAGAGATAGGTGGGGGGAGGGGTGAAACAGATAAAGGGGATCAAGAGTACCCTCTTTAAAAATTTTTTTTAATCTTTATTTATTTTTGAGAGAGACAGAGCATGAGTGGGGGAGGAGCAGAGAGAGTGGGAGACACAGAATCCCAAGCAGGCTACAGGCTCTGAGCTATCAGCACAGAGCCTGACATGGGGCTCAAACTCATGAACTGTGAGATCATGACCTGAGCCAAAGCTGGATGCTCAACTGACTGAGACACTCAGGTGCCCCAAGAGTACCCTATATTGATCAGTACTGAGAAATGTATAAAGTTGTTGAATCATTATACTGTACACCTGAAACTAACGTAACACTGTATGTTAATTATTTTAAAAAAAGAAAAAAAAACCCAAAGCCTATGGGTAGCTCTGAGTTTCTGTGGCTGGTGGAGGGAGTGCTGTTCTCTGATCCAGGATGCCTGGCTTTCCCACAAGCCTTCACTCCTAACTAGTCCTGTGACCTTAGGAAGGGGATTGGCACCGAGCCTCAGCCTTTTCCTCCATGAAATGTCTCCACCTCACTCACACAGTTGCAAAGCACAAATGAGGCGATGCAGGTAAAAGTGCTTTGTAAACCTCAGCATATCAGGCAAACATACATTGCACTTGATAATTGACCTCCCGCCAGAGCCTGCGAAAAGGTGCTGACTCAAGCCTCTGTTGTTCTCTCAGACGGAGTGGACTCATCGGCTGCATGAGCTTTGGGGTGAAGTCCCTCCTGACTCCGGACAAGGTGGGTCCCAGGGAAGCCTCCGGCAAGGTCATCCCATGGAGGCCAGGACTAGTAGAGGCAGAGCCTTTGTCTGGAAGCCCTCGGGTGGGGTTTCTGTCTTATGTGCTTTACGACCTGAATAACAACACTGTTTATCATCTGAGTGACCAAGGGTTTGGGTCCCCTTCTTGGTTTCTCCTTGCCAGAGATCAGTGGTGCAGACAGCCCCAAGGCTTTCCAGGGGCTCTGGGTCTGATGTCTGCCATGAAGGGTGTCTGCAGGTCCCTCGGAGTTCAGCACTCCTGGACGAGGAGGGCTGGGTGGTCTCAGCCTCTGACATGATCTACCAGGTGGCGTGTTTTTGGGTCTAGCAAGTGCTCAGGGGTGGAGGGAGCAGCGACATCCCCTGTGGAGCTTTCCTTTCGGCTGAGTGAGGACTCTCTGGAAGCTAGAAACTCCTCCCTCCGGGTAGTGGGTCCCTTATCTGCCTCTGCACTGTACGCTCTCCCCCTACGGCCCAACTGGAGGCTTTTGAGCTGGCGAGAGACATGCTCCTTTTGCACATCCCCAGAGATGTCCTGGTGGCCTCTGCATGGACTTGCCAGGTGGCCCTGCCACTTGGTGTCCTGAAAGTGAAGTCTGGGCGTAGGTGGCTGGGGAATCTTTATCTTCCTTGTCGGTGCCAAATATCTTCTCTTGACTGCAGCTCTGGATTCATTCTGTCCTGGGAGAAGAGGTTCCCTCCATGGGGACTGCTCAGGAGCCTGGCCTTTCCATCCCCCCCTCCTTCCCTCCCTTCTGTTCTGTCAGTATGCATTGAGCTCCTACTGTATACCAGGCATGGTGCTAGGCACATCAAAGAGCCTGTGCACAGCCTAGTGGGAAGGCAGGCATGCGAGTAGACCGCTGTGCTCCAGGGCTGATGGGCTGTGGGCATTCAACAGAGTGGAAGACCAGCTCCCCCTGGAGCATCAAGGAAGGCTTCCTGGAGGTGTAGGCATGGCAGCTCCCTTTGGGGCAGGGCCGCTGGAGTGTCTGTCTCTGCAGAGATGCTGCTCCTGAGGGAGGCTCTCCAGCTGCTGCTTTTTGAGGGGGGTTAGGGCTGCCAGACCTGTGCCTTCTGCCTCGTCTGTCTGAGCATGTGATGTCATGCCTTCTCTCGTGACAGGAGATCAGCGGCTGGTACTACCTTCTGGGCGAAGACCTGGGCCGGACCAAGCACCTGAAGGTGGCCAGGCGGCGACTGCGGCCCCTGAGAGGTGCACGGATGTCACCTTCGGCTTCTGCCCAGACACGCTGCTCCACCCACCCCCCTTGGCTTCTCCTTTCCCTCCCTTCCTGCGTAGTAGCATTGCCCCGCTGTGTTGTGGCATCTGGCACCCCTGGCTGCAGTCAAGTCAGGGCTCCAGGGACTTCTCACAGCAGCTGCTATAACATAGGCTGTAGGCAGCCTCTTGCCCCCAACACCTTTATTTATATGGTTGGACCTTCCTGGCAGAGGAGCGCAGGCCTGACCCCGCGTGGTTGCTGAACCTCCACTCTAGCTTATGGAGGGCTGGGCTTCAGGAGCTTCCTGGATGGCCCCTTCCCAGGATCCTTTGGGCTGTCTTGCTGGCCTGGGGGTGCCTACCTTGATAGGCAGGGCAAGTGGGGAGTCCTGAGGCTCAGGACTTGGGTTTCGTGTTCCCTTCTCTTCTGTCCTTCTCACATGCAGTCCCGGCCTCTGATTCCCCGTGTAGCCTGAGCTTGTGCACCCCCGTATCCTGGAGGCCAGCAGCCACCCAGACAGCCACCTGGCCTGCCACTCTGGCCTCCTCCTCTGGGTGGTCTGTGGAATGGACACCTATGTGCCAGGAGCAGCTTTCTGACTCTCCTCTGTCATCTTCCAGAGCCGCCGCGGAGAATTCCAGGAGGTGGGGACACTGAGAGTGGGGAGAAACTCAAGGTAGGTGGGGATGCGCCGGGGTAGGAGTGACAGGGCCTGGGCACTGCCCTGGGCTCTGACTTGCTCCTGCTCTGTCCCTTGGCCCAGGAGACCCCTAAACAGGACCACATTTGGTGCCTGACACTCAGGTTCACTCGGAGCTTGGAAATTCAGCAAGGCACGCATTTTAAGGGGTTATTTTTGTGCTTTCCTCAGGTTACTCTTGGTTGGGACAGTGGTGGGGGGAGGGTCAGGCCCGGGCCTCTGGAGATGGAGGCATCTGGATCTTACCAGCTTTCAGTCTCTTAAGTCTGATTCTTTCCTTTCCCCCCTGGACCCCCTCAGACCGCTGGCTTCCCCTGGCGTCGTGGCCAAATCACCCTCAGCTTAGGCCTGCTTGATGTCAGGGAGCAGCTACTGGGCCTGAACCTGACACCAACAGGTCCTCACTCCATCAAGGCCGTGAATCTGGAGATTCACCTTCGCACAGGGATCTTGGTGAATTCTCCACACTCATTCCATCCCTTTGCAGGACACAGCAGGTGATCCATGGTTTTCTCTAACAGCTAAGAGAGGGGGAAACAAACTCCCCGCGATTGTTCTAGAAGCCCCGCTGCGTCAGATGCTGTCGTTACCCAATTTAATCCTCACTGCCACCTCTGCGATGGTTGTTACTTCCTCATCTCACACACGTAACGTTCAGAGATGTCAGGTCACTCTCCATGGCCACACGGCCACCGAGTGAAGGAGGCAGGACCAGGAGTAAGGCCTGGCTGCCTTTAAGTGCACACGGTGCCACACTGCCTCCTCACGTGGCCTATTTGGGAAGATATGATGGTGCTCTTTTCCCTGATAACATCTTACATGTAGACGTGTTATAGTCTACAAAGCATTTTCCTTTTCCCTGACTCAATTCATTCACCCATCTATTCATTTGTTCACTGTTTATTGAACACTCTCGTGGGCTAGACCCTGTGTTGGGTGCTGGGGTATAGCTGTGGGCAAGTCAGAGGGGCCTGCCCTCATGGCACATACAGTCTAGAGCTGCACTGTCCAACATGGTAGCCACCAGCCACTTGACGAGGGGCTAGTATGACCAAGGACCTGAACTTTTCCTTTTATTTAACTTTAATGAACTCAGATGTACCTTGCACATGTGTCTTGTCCCTACCATATTGGGGCAGCACAGTATGAAAAGAATTTGCTGGTTACTATATTCTGTAGCTTCGTTAGGAGTTTAAGCTTTGCAGCTTCGGTGAAGGAGCTGTATCTCTCTCCCTTTCTCTGTACTTGCCCAGAGAGGGCAGTGACCAGAGAGCCTTAACTGATGGTTTATGGGAATGACATGGACATCAACACTGCACATTTCTAGGTGGCTTCATTCTGGATCTGCACACAGGCCCTGACCCATGGGGACATTGCTCTGAGGCCCAGTTGATTTTCCTGGGCTTTGAACTCAGACATGTCCTTCGGACTCAGCGCCGTGGGGGAGGTTGTCAGAAGCTTGGTCAGGCTGAGGGGGAGCCTCCGGAGGTCACTAGCTCAACTCTCCTGTTGTGCACGTGGGGAGGAGGAGAAGTTGTGCACAGGTGACCTGCGCACTGTCACGGCAGCCAAAGCTGGGCCGTACCAAGGGACACTCTCAGGTGTCAGGGACATGCGTGGAGGGGTGGGTCTCCCCAGAGATGGTGAGGTGGGTGTAGGGGGCGCTGGGATCACCAGGTACTGCCCTACAAAGCAGGGAACAAGACTGGGGTCCAGCTCCCCCCTACCCTGCTGCGTGACCTTAACCACTGTAGACCCCAGCTTCTCGATGGGTAAAATGAGGAAACCAGATCATCTATTGATTGGAGCTCCCTTCCTGATTTGCCTCTATGGTCTACATGTCATCAGAGCCGTGAAGCCGAGGCAACTGACTTTGAAGTGGCTTCTGAATGGCAGGCTGCTCCTCACACTCCACAGGGTTCATGTTCTCTGTTTTGAGATGGGACATCTGTGAGTGCAACCCCCTAAGGCGTCCTTGGATTCTTTAGATTGTGTCAGTCCTCTGGATTTGCTACCCGGGACCCTGGGATTTGCAGGGGGAGGTGGCGTTGTTATAGAGCGGGGGCCGTGTTTTCTGCCTGGGTTCTCGTCCAGCCAGGGGTGTTTGTGAGAACATTGGAATCACAAAGTGGCCCACGGCGGAGAATGCAGCCAGAACAAAGGCGCCCTCTCCCCGCCGGGGGCCGGGGGGAATACTAACTAGTTGACAGGAATTTTAATATAAAACTCTCCCTCTTCCTTGTCATTCTGAGGTTTCAGGAAGCCTTCGGGCTTATCGTGCAGAGGCACACAGCACAGACAGGGCTTGGGGAGGTGAGAGGTGATTTCCTGCCATTCTTCTGCGGGGCGGGCTTCCCAGGGCGGTCATGCCAGGCTGACGGGGCGCAGTGTGGGCTCCCACTGCTGGGGGGAGAGCTGGGATTTCATGGGGCGGCAGCCGAGACGGGACCCGCAGCCATGAACCGGTTCAATGGGCTCTGCAAGGTGTGCTCGGAGCGTCGCTACCGCCAGGTGGGTTCTTGGCCCCTTGGGGGCGCGTAGGGTGTCACTGGGGGTCGAAGATGGGGGCTCTCCTGATCAGGACGTCTTTCCCCACGAGTCCTTCCTTGTTTCTTTCTGCTCCTTGCAGGTTAATTTCAGTCTAGGGGGAGGATAGAATCAGGAGCTGGCCCCAAGGTCCATCCCTCACCTCCTCTCTAGGGGCAGACCAGGGCCAGCTCTGTCCTAACCACGGACATGTGGTGTCCTTGGTGAGATTATCTAGTTGATTTTTATCTGGGGGCAGTGTGGGTTTAAAAAAAAAAAAAAGCTTGAGACTGGAAATGGCTGAGCCTCTGGGTTTTGTGTTTTTGCTAACTTTACACTTTCACCAACTGTCACTACTTCCGATGGGACAGGGGTGCCTGTCCTGCGTTGTCTGTGTGTGATTGTGTGTTTTCATGTGTGTTGGTGAGATGGGATGTTTCCGTGTGTATGTGTGCACACATGATTTCCTCCCTGGTAGCTGCGATGCCTTGGGGTGGTTCCGGAGTCCTCCGCTCCAGAGCCCATCCTCACTGAGAAGGCTTGGCCTCTCAGCCTCCGGTCTTGGGATGTGGGGCAGACTGGGAGCCATGATCCCGTAGCTTCAAGGCCCTTCTGGAGCTGCGCTCGACACTTTTTCTTACAAACAAGGAGTGGGGACAGGGAGGGTGAAGGCAAGAGATGTCCAGTTTTTTGGGGATGTCCGAACTGAGGGGAGTTCAGGAATGGTTCTGATTTTAAAAGTATAGAAAAGTCCCTCTGTGCGTTGTAATGACCAGACTGGAATGTGGGTCCCGAGTCCTGCAGACAGGCACCCTCAGGTCCTTGGGAGATGCCCAGAGGGGCCTCCTGCACCGCGGCTTGGACCCTGGGGGCCCACCTGTCCTCCTTGCCACCCTCTCCAGGCCTCCCAGAGCCCAGCAGAACAGCTCCCCGTGACACCAGCAGCTGGGGGCAGGGTGGTGGGGCAGAGGGCGCTACATGGGAGGTCAAGAAGTTTTTGGTTACCTTGGGCCAGAAGACTGAGGCCCACTGGCTGTCAGAGTAGGGCCAGGCATGGATCTGGGTGGGGCCTGGGGCTCTGGGACTGAAGTTCAAGACGGATCCTATGCTAGGAACCAGCATAGGATTTGGGCACCAGCTTTTTGCTAGACTTGGCTCAAACTCAGCCCTGCCTCCCCCCACCTTTTTTTTAATTTAAAAAATTATTTATTTTGAGAGAAAGAGAGAGAGAGAGACTGAGAGAATCCCAAGCAGGCTTCGCACCATCAGCACAGAGCCCAATGCTTGGTTTCAAGCTGAAACCAAGAGTCAGGTGCCTAGCTGACTGAGCCACCCAGGGGCCCCAGCTCTGCCCTTCTTAGCTGTAGCTCTTGAGTACGTCAGTAGACCTGCCTGAGCCTCAGTTTCCTTGTCCGTGGAGCTGGGATGGTAATCTCCAGTGATGGTGCTGTGAGGTGGCTGGAAGGCTGTGTACAGAGCGCCTGGTGCAGGGCCTGGGATGGGCATCTAGGAAATGTTCAATCAACAGTGGCAGTCAGGGACCTGGTTGGAAGTCTGGGCGTGACAGAGTATCAGAAAGCAGGCAGGAGGGCAGAGGTGAGGTGCTAGCCTGGGTGAGAGCTGGGAGCAGTGACGGCCCCTGCCCTGGACAGGAAAGAGCAAGGAGCACCCGCCAGGAAGGATGGCCTCAGCCAGGAGCTGCTCCCCTCACCTCCTGACCCTGAGGCCCCAGGGCACAGGGGAAGACTGAGAGCTGGGGGCTGCTCCTTGCTCACTTTAGCATTCAGCTGCCTGCTCTGTGCAACGGGCGTACTAAAACCAGCCCCGCGTTCCCCTCGGGGCTGCAGTGATGATCCGGTTCCCTGGGCATTGACCTCAGTGCTCATGATGGACAGAGCATGATTTTGCCTCCTTTATTCGGTCCCACCTCTCACACTGATCACGGAGGGGAGCTTGCTTCCTGGCACCCTTTACCCATCCCTTCCCTTCCCAGCCCCCAGCTGGCTTAGACTGTTTTCTGGGCTGATTCTTCTCAGGCTGGTACTTAGGAAGGCCCAGGAGGCCCCGGCCCATAGTCCTGCCCAGAGGGGTCCAGGGTGTGGGAGGGGAGGCTCTTTTGTGGGAGCATGCCCCTTTCCAGATCCAGCTCTGGGGCCAGTTCCCAAACTGTTAGCGTTGAGCCCATGGGTGCTGGGACCCGTTTGCAGAGCTGGGATCCCAGGCAGGAGGGCTGTGGCCCTTTCTGGGGTAGGACTGGGAAAGGTCTAGAAAAACTTTATAATCCCGGCTTCTGCTTGGGCTGAGGGTGGCTTGACAGGCCCCCCAAAGGCCTTTCGAGTCACACGGAGTGGACCAGGCTCCTGACATCTTCCCTCGGCCTCAGCCTGGGCTTTTCACGCTCACTCCACGGTTTGTTTTTCTTTCTTTCTTTCCATTTTTTTCTCTTCCTGTCTTAGCTGCGTGTTTTCCCAGAATTCTTATGGGAACAGGGTATTTTCCTGCCCCCTCCCCCTTCCCCTTGTCTGTCAGATTTCCTGTTTTACAAACTTGCTTTGAATCCAGGCCCAGGGCTGGTGGGAAGCAGAGGCTCAGGGGCCTCCCCAACAGCCTCCAAGGGCCTTGGCCACGCTGGGTCCCCTGGCCCTCCCCTTCCTCATGCCTGGCCTTTGGGACAGCTGGTAGGTGAATGCCAGGTGCCCAGCCTTGAAGAGACAGTCCCTAAAGGAAGGAGACAGGAGTCTCCTTACAAAGCCACTGGCCCTTGTCCCTTTCCAGCTTGCTGAGCTGGCTTCTTCCTCAATCCACCTGGGACAGCCTCCCTGGGGCCTCACCAGGGCCCCCTCCATGTCCTCTTCTCCCAGAGAATCTCTTAGGGCCCCGCTGAACCCCCTTTCTGACTTTGATGCCCTTAGGTCTGTAGCTCTGAGTAGCCTGGAGTCCCTCTTTGGGGAGGCAGGGTCTGGGCCTTCCGCACCCCACCCAAAGCCTAACTGGCAGCCTGCAGAGGGGGAGCAAGGCCCAGGTGAGCCAAGCCAGCAGACAGCACTGCATCCTGGCAGTTTCCTGCTGCTGGTGGGACAGTGCTGGGCTGTCCTCACTATCACTTGCTGAGTTCCTGCTGTGCACCAAGCCCGCTGTCCAAGGTCAAGCACAAAGAACTGTTCCCGACTCTGTCCTCACACCCAGCTCCAGTGCATGTTGTAGCCTTCATTTCGGAGAGATCGGCCTATTCCTGTGGCCCTCTAGGACCCGAAGACCAAGACCTCAATGTCTCGAAATGTCAGCAGAACCCGGCATGCAGTAGGAGCTCGATAATTGTGTGTTGCTTTGGAAAGAGGTCCGAGGGCTGCCTGGCTGGCTCCAGAGTAGAGCACCAGACCCTTGATCTCAGGATTGTGAGTCCTAGCCCCATGTTGGGTGTGGTGCCTACTTTAAAAAAAAAAAAAAAAAAAAAAAAAGGAGGTGTGGCGCCTGGGTCACTCAGTTAAGCGTCTGACTCTTGATTTTGGCTCAGGTCAAGATCTCACAATTTCTGAGTTTGAGCCCCGCATCGGGCTCTGTGCTGACAGGGCGGCCCTGCTTGGGATTCCCTGGCCCTGGCTCTCTGCCCCTCTCCCCAGCTAGTGTGTCTCTCTCTAAATAAATAAACTTGAAAAAAAAAAAAAAAGATCCAGGAGGTAGGGCCCCTTCCTGGGAATTCTGAAAGTAGGGTTGTGGATCTGCCACGCAGCAGGCGCAGTGAGGTCAGGGACTAGTTCAGGTTCACCCAGGACACCTATCTGTGCCCTTACCTGCCCCTCACCTGGCAGCCCTCACTGGATGCCTTGAGGCCTCAGTGAGGGACTGCCCTGAGAACACTTGCACTTGTCCCCTGACCCTTGGCTGGAGTGGGGGGTGTGTGTGTGTGAGTACATGTGTCCCTCTCTTCCCTCCCCTGTGCTGTGGGAGGGTAGTAACCAGATGGCTTTGTTTCTGGGCCCTGAGCACAGGGCCAGCCCGGGACAGATGCTCTGTGAATCCCCAGTGCAGGAGAGGGGAAGAAGGAAGGGACCGAGGTGGAGATGGGCAGGTCCAGTGGGCATTTTGGTAAGGGACCGGACCATGTGTCTGCAGGGTCTGAGGAAGGTGAGGCTTGCCCTTCTGGGGCTCTAGCCTGGGTTTACCCCCTGAGTTCCCAGCCTTCCTGCTTGGCCCACGACCCAATGCTCAAGCTGCCTGGGCCAAGATAGGCACGGCAAGAGCTGGCCAGCCTCCTTCTTGGCTCCCTCTCACCTTGGAGAGGAGGGCGGCTCTGGGGTAGGGCCTGTGGGCTTCCGGACCTTGGAGCAGAGGCAGCAGCCTTGTGGCTTCTGGGAGTAACTGGGTGGGGCTGTGTCCTAGATCACCATCCCGAGGGGGAAGGACGGCTTCGGCTTCACCATCTGCTGTGACTCTCCGGTTCGAGTCCAGGCTGTGGATTCTGGTGAGTGAGCGCCTCGGGTGATGCCAGTCCCGTCCCCCACCCCCACCCCTCTCAGGCACCTGGCTTTGCAAACAAGATGTGGGAGCTGAAAGGGGAGCCCCAAACTGGAACGGCGGCCTCGTTTTTCAAAACCAAAGAATACTGTTTTTAAATGACCACAGATGAAGCTGAAGTTTACGAAAATATATTCACAATTTTTTAAAAATCAAAGTGAAAGTAGGTTTTTTAATATTTTGTGTCCCAGTCATGTTAAACAGGAACTAAACTGCCGTTTCCAGTAAGGGCTGCACGGGAAAATGAGAGTCACTTACGTACTTTATGTGGGATCGGTATTTTATCCTATTCCAAGCCTGATTAGCACTTAAAAATCGGCATTCTCTCCCTGTTTTTCACAAAGACTTCTGACCACAGAGGAGAAGCCGGGGCTTGGTGATGGAGGTGAGTCCCGCCCTGTGCCTGCAGGGGGACCGGCACAAGACCGGCACTCAGAGAATGGCGTTAAGGAATGAAGTGTTTGAGCCTGGCAACAAGGAAGGGTTCTCGGAGGAGGCGGCCGTGGGAGCCCTTGGGGAGAGAGGGCGAGGTGGGGCCTGGCTAGAAGGGTGGACGGCTGAGGAGTGAGCAGGCAGAGGAGAGATGGGGGCAAACGAGTGCCTCCTTCCTGGGCCCCTGTGAGCCACTGAGTTCGGCCCTGCGTTTTGCAGATGAGGAGACAGAGAGGGGCAGACTTGCTTAAGCCACTGCTGGGGCCGCGACTCTAGGTCATGTCATGGGTCATGTCACTGGCGCACCCTGGACTCCAGGAGCCCTCAGGCAGCTTTTCTTGGTCCCTGCAGGAGGTCCGGCAGAGCGGGCAGGGCTGCAGCAGCTGGACACCGTGCTACAGCTGAATGAGAGGCCTGTGGAGCACTGGAAATGCGTGGAGCTGGCGCACGAGATCCGGTGACAGCGGTGGCGGGCGGCTCTGGGCCTCGGGCTGATGGCCCCCCTCCCCCACCCCCCAGCTCTGGGCACAAGGCCTCTCCTGCCCCCTCCTCTGAGCAGCTGTGAGCAATTCACTGTGCTCCTCCTCGGGGAATCCTCCTGTTTCTTGGCCTGAAAATGGAAGGTTCAGGCTCAGAGCAATTTTGGATCAGGGAGCAAACAGCAGGGGAGAAGCTCTCAAACAGACCCCGTGGTTCAGGCGAGGCTCCAGGGCGTCGCTTTTTACTTGAGCTCATTATCTGCCGTTGTTCCTAAAGGATGTGTAGATGTCGCAGATGTTTCATCGAGCACATGAGAAATTGTTCTTTAGAATGTTTGGGTCCCCTACACTGGGACCTGCTGGGGTAAAACTCTCATGACCCGTTTTCAGTTTGCTTCTAGAAGGACTAGAGGCGGGCTTGCACATAGGTGGCTTGCTGGCTCCTCCCTTGCTTATACTTTGCCCATGATTGACCTCAAAGGTTGAGTTTGCTACTCTGGTTTCACCTGGCCGTGGCCTCAGGGTCCTTCTCAGCCACTGCCGATCAACTAGAGTTGACCTAAGGGACCTGGTCGCTGTCTGGGCTTGCAATGACCTCTTACCTCCCTTCCCTTCCTGCAGACCACTGGGCCTTCTCTGCCCTCCCCCACCCTTTTTCTCTGCCCTGCAGACCTCTGCCCTCAACTCAACTTTGTGTAACTCCCCCCCCCCACCCCCTGCCAACTCTAGGAGCTGCCCCAGTGAGATCATCCTGCTTGTGTGGCGCATGGTCCCTCAGGTCAAGCCGGGGCCGGACGGCGGGGTCCTGCGGCGGGCCTCCTGCAAGTCAACACACGACCTCCAGTCACCCCCCAATAAGCGCGAGAAGAACTGCACCCACGGGGCCCAGGCGCGGCCTGAGCAGCGCCACAGCTGCCACCTGGTGTGTGACAGCTCAGACGGGCTGCTGCTCGGTGGCTGGGAGCGCTACACAGAGGTGGCCAAGCGCGGGGGCCAGCACACCCTGCCCGCACTGTCCCGGGCCACTGCCTCCACGGACCCCAACTACATCATCCTGGCCCCACTGAACCCTGGGAGCCAGGTATGGACGGCTGGCTGGGAGAAGGTGAAGGGCAGGGGTCTGGCCTCGCGCACGGAGGCTCTGCCAGGGGCTGGGAGTGCCGAGGGAGGAGGCAGGGTGTGGGTTAGCTCTGGCCGCCCTGCTCTTTGAGGGGGGGCGGGAAGGGAAAGCAGATGGGTCTTTGTGGCCTCAGGGCACAGATGCGGGCCAAGGGGAGGTCACAGGGCAGAAGATTACACCTCAGAAGAAGGAAGCGCTTTCTGCCACTCTGGGCTTACTCTGGGAAAGAAGTGTTCTGAGGTTGAATGAGTTTGAGAAATAGCCCAAACTCTCCCCGTTTTCTGGACGCGATTCCCCATGTGGATGGAGTAGACTACTTGGGGCTGAGGGTACCCTGCAGTGGAGGGCGGTTTAGCCCAGCACTTTCAGAACTCCCCTGCCGGTAGGTACATCCTTTATGGCAGGCTTCTCGGGACCCGCAGTGCCGGTGTACCCTGGAAGGCACTTTGGAACCAGCTGCCATCCAGAAAGTTGGAGACACAGCCTAGAGGTTACACTGGCTGAAAGCTAAAACCTTGTTCCACCCTCACATTCTAGAGGATTCCAGATTCTGTGATCCCACCACGCACCGCCCTCTGCTCCTTAGCCGGGCGGCTGTTTCTCATCCTCTCCCATCCCCAGGCCGCAGCTGAGCAGCCTGCCTGGGGGTCCCTCCCTGTTCCTGGCGCTGATGCGATTCTTCTGTCTTCTGTTGCAGCTGCTGCGGCCTCTGTACCAGGAGGATGCCATCCCCGAAGGTGGGTCTGTCCTCTGCCGTGTGCCCTCCCGGCTCCAGGGAGATGCGAGGCCAGCTGTTAAGACCCCCAGCACATGGGCACAGACTCTCTTTCCTCCCCATGTGCGCTCTCCCTCACTGAACCAGTGTCTTGCCTCCTCGGAGCCGCAGCTGAGAAGCAAGAAGGGATCTTCCCACGGCAGTCTAAGAGTGCATTCAACGGGGGTCATCCAGTCTTACTGAGCAACCAGTATATGTTAGGTGTCATAGGCCTCTGGTCGGGTCTGCACAGAAGAGGGGCAGGGAGGGCTCCGGTCAGAGTTGCAGGACTCTGAGCAATTCACGTTCCATCACTGAGCCTTGGTTTCTTCATCTATAAAATGGGGCTGATCATTTCCACCTCAGAGGGTTGTCAGGAGGGGTAAAAGAGATGCTGGCTGTGAGCAGTAGTCTGTCCACTGAGAGAGGCCATGCAGGGGATGGCTGTCTTTGAACTTTATAGGTTCCTTTGGCTGTTGAATCTGACTCTTTTTTTTTTTTAAACTTTATTTATTTTGAGAGAGAGAGAGAGAAAGCATGAGTAGGGGAGGGGCAGAGAGAGAGGGAGAGAATCCCAAGCAGGCTCTGCACTGTCAGCGCAGAGCTTGACGCTGGACTCGAACCCACAAACCATGATATCATGACCTGAGCCAAAGTTGGATTCTCAACCAACTGAGTCACCCAGGCACCCCTCCCCCATTGGCCCGATTTTTTTAAGAGCCAGGGAGAGAAAACCAGGGTCTACCGAGGATGCCTGAGTGGCTCCGTCCATTAAGTGACCAACTCTTGATTTTGGCTCAGGTCATGGTCTCAAGGTTTGTGAGTTCGAGCCCTGCACTGGGCTCTGCGCTGACAGCGAGGAGCCTGCTTGGGATTTTGTCTGCCCCTCTATGCTGACGTGCCTGCCAGGGTCCAGCTGACTGGAGTCCAGCTGGCATCTGGAAGGCTGTGACCAGCCTTGCCTGACGGCCCTGTGCTGCAACCCTGTAGCACCTGCAGAGAACCTGTGAACTTTCTTCCCTGAGAGGGGCCTTTCCCAGCCACCTGCAAGCTCGCGGCCTTGCCTCCCTCCCCAACAGTAGGGTGATGTCGATGCTGGCTCGTAGCAGGTTCTTGGAAAAGTACCCACGCCTTTTGGGAGGGAAAAGGGCTCCCATCAGGCTCAGAGCTGCTGACGGAAGGCGTCTTCATTCTCTCCAGGGTAGGCCATTTGGGTGGATAGGCCTGGTCTGCTGGAAATGAATCTGCGTTCCTTCTGGAGAGGAGTCTGAGAGTTATTCAACACTGAGTTCTTAAAAAGCTTTTAGGCAGCGCATTAGGTTAGAGTGGAGATGTCCCTGCTAAATGGTGACTTCATTAAGGGCAGGGCCTGGGCCGCCTCATGTATGCGTTTCCGTGCGGACCCGGGGCACGGCAGGCAGCAGGTACTCAGTAGGATTTCCGCTGAGTGACTGAGTGAAGGAGAATGACGCTGGCTGGTTGCTCCTAGGGTGGAAGGCTGGTCACAGAGTGAGGGGGCCAGAGAGGTGTGGGGCCATTAGGGGGTTGGTGGAGTGGGGTTGACTCCTTCTTGGCCTCAGAGATGCCTCTTGGTGTCCTTCCAACCTGTGTCCACGGTTCGAATCCCCTCCGTGAATACAGATTTAGTGAACCAAGAAGGGCTGAGTCATTGAAGCTGTGGAGAGAGAGGGACAAGTAAGCAGATGATGACGGTGTTAATAACGACGGTGGCTTTTTGAACACATTGTATTAAGAATTGACCTTCCTTCATTTATTCTTCAGGATGATAGGATTTTTTTGGTGTGCAAGGACGTCTCTGCTCTTTATCAGTCCTCAAGCCTTCATGGCTCCAAGTCCTGGAGTTCAGAGGAAGGGGTGGAACTGAACCTTCCCTTAAACACACTTGGGGTTCTCCAGAGGCTGGGCTGTCACCACGGTGCTGACTTCTGCTTCCTCCTGTGGTTGGGCTGCATGGCCTCCTTTCACGGGGCAGGATGGAGCCATCCAGAGTTGAATGGGGTCTGGTAGCCTTCCGAGGCCTAGGGTGCTGGCTGCTTGTAGCTGGCATGTTCCCCAGGGCCACTGGGGGCCCTCAGCATTGTCCCCTGCCCTTCAAAGGGGCCCGGCCTCAGATGCCCCATCACCAGAGTGGGACGCCTGCCAGGGCTCGCCTCGGAAGCCAGAGCAAAGCTGAGTAATTACTGTGTTTGGTCAGTGAAGCAGGTGTTCTAGCAAAAACGGGTGATGTGGGGGCTCGGACCAGAGGATGTTAAGAGGTAGCAGGTGGGGAGCCAAGGGGATTGACTCTGCAGAGCTCAGCAGCTGGGTTGCAAACTGGACTGTTTTTTAAAAAAGATACTTTAGAAAATTCTTTTTGGAGAGCCCGTGCCTGGTTGCATGTGACGCAGGGGTGTGTGGAGATGGGGGTCCCAGGCATGACGGTTGCGTAAGTTGGACTGATCTTGCTTTGTACCGTATCCTGGCCAGGTGTCCTTGGAAAGGTCACCCAACCACCCCGGGGCTCAGTTGCCTGGTCTATAAAATGGGGCTAAGCAGACTTCCTACCTGAAGGCAGAGGCATGTCACACGGCTTATCTATGGCTCTGCAGGCCCAAGGCAAAGGGTGCTGTGATGACCCTGTGCAGCTGGGCCAGGGAAGGGAAGGCATGGATTCTTGCACAAGGCTGAGACAGGGCCCACAGGGCCCAGATTTGGGCATCGGCAAAGGGTACCCTTTATGTCTGTTTTGTGTCAGTCCCCCCCCCCCCCCCCCCCCCCCCCCCCCCCCCCCCCCCCCCGCCCCCAGCTTGTCAGCCCTGTGTGGTTTTGCCTTCCCTGGTCTAGGCTTGGTCATGTTCAGATAGACTGTCTAGTTTCAGATTGACCCTGAGACCTCATTCACAGTATGGTTTGAGGCCCAGCAGCCCTGTCCTAACACCAGCCCTGATGGGTTTGTTGTCTGTCGGCTTGGGTGTGTGCTAATCCCCTGTACACTCTGCTCTGGTACCATTCATGGAGCCCTTTCCCTTTGGGCCTGTCGTGAGAGCCCCCCAACAGCAACCCTTAACAGTGGAGAAACTCCAGCTCAGAGGGGGAAGGAAACTTCCTTCTGGTTGCCCAGCCAGAGTCTGGGGGAGCCAGTGTTCAAGTTCAAGTTTCTTGACCAACTCAAATCCAGCAGAGGTCTTGTGACCCAGGATGGACTCTTTCAGCGGAGGGGTGAAAGCCTGGCAGCACAGACCCCACCCCTGCGGCCGGGGTCCATGGCCAGATCAGAGGAGGAGCTAGCTAACTACTTCCATGCACCTGTCCCCCTCCCTCACCCTTTCTAGTCTTCTCTAAGCCACTCCTCAAAGAGGCAGGAAGTGGTTTAAGTTATTATGGTTTGAGATATGGCTGTGATGGGTGGTCACTTGTGAGGGGAGCTGACTTGTTTTTCTCGCCCTGCTCGGGGAGAAGGGGCATGAGGTGGGCGGAGGAAATAAGTGTGAAATCTTCCGAGTTGAGTTTTTCCTCTGAGGCCATGGACCTCGCGTTGGTGGGGAGCTTCCCCGAGATGTAGCTGGGGTCATATCACCTGCTCACCCACCGGCTGCCAGGACTGAGGAGCGGTGGGAGCGGACCTGGGACCTGGGACACCCAGGTATATGCAGAGCGGGAGGCTGTGAAGTTGGCTTCCTACCTGCTCGCACCCAAGAGTCCCTGCCTTTTTAGCTGCTCTGTGCTTTGCTCCTCTGCCTGGAGGACCGGGCATGATAAAGACCCGATTGCTACCTCTTGTTCCGTTGAGGGTGTGTGTCCGGCAGTGTCCCCTGCTGGGTAGCCTTCTGCTCTCTTCCCTGAAGGTGTTTCCCCCCTCTCTCCTTTTCCTGATTAGAATGACGAGGGAGTTGGTGGCCAGCCAGGGTATCTTCTGGCTGCAGTGAAGACTAGGGTTTTCAGTCTGTGGGGCACCTGATGAACCTGCTTTTGCACGCGGAGGAACCGCAACAGCAAGAGCCACAAGAAGTTAGCAGCTAACGTTTCTCATGCACTTACCGGGTCCCAGGCATTGTTGTGGGGCTTTACTTGGAGCATCTCATTGAACTCTCACAGTAACCCGTTGAACTTGGTAATATGATTGCAGTGGAGGAAACCAAGTCTCTAAGGTGGGGAAGTGAATGGCTGAAGGTCACCAAGCTAGTAAGCAGATACGAAAGGGGTTTGGGCACAGCCACGTGGCTTCAGAGCTGGTGTTCCTTCCCGAGAACTGGGGCAGTGGGTGCCACTGTTCATTGTAGACTGACTTGTGTGAGCCAGGCTGCCCCCGCCCCCTCGGCTAATAGAGGGAAGTCTCCCATACAGCCTGGGAAAGCCCAGGGGGCTTGGGATTGGGCTGGACCTCCAGTCCCTTTGTCCGTGGGACCTGGGAGGCGATGGAATGGGTGAACTGTGCCAGGCATGTCGAGGGAGCCGTGGCGGCGGGGAGAGCGCGCCTCTGACACATAGGACAGCCTCGTTGACTGATGGTTCAGTGTGGGACCATGGGTCCCGTGTGGTCATATCATCTGACTTTTCAAATAGGAGAGGTTTCCTGATTTTGAAAAGTATGAGGCCAAACCGATGTCTGATTCAGGCTCTGGCCGCCAGGCGGTGCCTCTATCCTAGTTGGTGGCTCCCAGCTCTGTCCCGGAGTCCCGGAGCCGCTGGTTTATGTGAGAGTCCCATCGGAATGTGAGGAAACTCCTTGAGGCCTGAGACCCTTCTGAGGCCTCCTCTGTGTTCCCAGTACCTTGCACAGGGCCCGACATATAGCATATGCTCACTAGATGGTGACAGACTGGCTGTGTTCCCCGTTTCTGCAGAGGGGATGTCTTTGCAGGTAAGGCAGGGATGCCTTTGCATGGAAATGCCTCATGGTCCCCCCATTTCTGTTGCACAGAATCAGGCGGTCCCAGCAAAGGGAAGTCCTACACAGGCCTGGGGAAGAAGTCCCGGCTGATGAAGACGGTGCAGACCATGAAGGGCCACGGGAACTACCAGAACTGCCCGGTCATGAGGCCACACACCCCACACTCAAGCTACGGCACCTATGTCACCCTGGCCCCCAAGGTCTTGGTATTCCCGGTCTTTGTTCAGGTGAGCTGGTGGCTGGCCCCACGGGCTCCCTCAGGTGATGAGAAAGAGGAGGGTCCTTCACCCCAGGGTTTGGGGAGGTGCCTCATTCCAGGAGGGTCCCCTTTTGGGAAAGAGATGGCCACAGGTGCTCAGAATTCTAGGGGTTATACCGAGGGAGCAGAGGTTCCCAGGAGGGGGAACAGGAGGGTGGGGGCAGGGAAGCTTAGCACCAAGAGGCTCTTTCCTGACGTCCCCTTTCTCTGGGGACAGGGCAGGCACACTCCAGCTACTTGGTGCCTTGTCACAGGGCCTCTTTGCTGAGGCTTCTGCTTCCTGCCTCATCAAGGGCTTCCTTGGTCTTAGCAAACATGCCTGGCCAGGATGAGCAGCTGGCCCAGATTCGTCTAGATCTCCCTTCTGCTTCTCCTCTGCTTTGCCCCTCGCTTCCTCCCCCTTTCCAAACTTGCGTGTCTCCCACCACCCAGACACAAGCTGTGTGAACACGCAGGTGTCTCTTCTGTGTGCATATACATGTTTCGGAAAGAAAGCTAAACTGATCGTGTGGCACATTTTCTATCTTTCTGCCTTTTTTTTAAACTTTATTTTTATTTTTAAATGTTTTTTATTTATTTCTGAGAGAGAGATAGGGTGAGCAGGGGAGGGTCAGAGAGAGAGGGAGACAGAATCTGAAACAGGCTCCAGGCTCTGAGCTGACTGTCAACACAGAGCCCAATGCGGGGCTCTAACCCATGAACCGTGAGATCCTGACCTGAGCTGAAGTCGGACTCTCAACTGACTGAGTCACCCGGCACCCCTCCTTCTGCCTTTTTTAAAGGAAAATTGTAGCATGAACATTGTCCACCTCACTAACTACTCTCTGGGCCTCTCTTTTGTAGTGAGCACACACTCTTCTATCCTTTGGCCGTACCATCTTTTTTTTAACAGGCTCTCTATTCAGATATTCTTCTGCCTATGTCCTTTGCTATTGTAAACAACTCTGTGATCAAGATCCTTGCCCATGACTTGCCCCTCCAATTATTTTCCTTGGAAGAGATCTTTAGAAGTGAAATGACAGGGTCATGGGTCATAAACATTTTAAAGGCTCTTTATATATTGACAGATTGCTTTCTAGAAAGACTGTTAGGGGCACCTGGGTGGGTCAGTCGGTTAAGTGTCCAACTTTGGCTCAGGTCATAATCTCACGGTTCGTGGGTTCAAGTCCCACATTGGGCTCTGTGCTGACAGCTAACTCAGAGCCTGGAGCCTGCTTTGGATTCTGGGTCTCCCTCTCTCTCTGATCCTCCCCTGTTCGTGCTGTCTCTCTCTCTCTCTCTCTCTCTCTCTCTCAGAAATAAATAAAAACATTAAAAAAATTTAGAAAGACTGTGTTAGTTGATCATTTTCATCAGCAACCTAGAGATGACATAGACCCGGGGGCTTCATTTTTTTTTGGTTGTTTTTTTGGAGAAGGAGAGAGAGAGTGAGGGCAGGGAAGGGGCAGAGGGAGAAAAAATTTCAAGCAGGCTCCAGGCTCAGCATGGAGCTCAATGCAGGGCTTGATCCCACGATCCTAGGATCACGACCTGAGCCGAAATCCAGAGTTGGACGCCCAACCGACTGAGCCACCCAGGCGTCCTCCTCAAGTGCCTCGTTTCTGACCATGCCTTCCTCCTCTGTCTCCCTGGCATCCCATTCCGGGACTGTTGCTGTCCAGTGGACGTTAGAACCCACACTTTGTCAGGGTGCAAGGCATCGCTGGCGAGTGACCTACCTCTCCTCAAACAACTCCCGCCTTTTCTTTTGGTTTCTTTTCTCTCTCAGGTCAGAACCACAAAGGGTCTTGGCATCCACAGGGGTTCTTTTCCATTTTCTTTTTAAGATCTTTGTTAAAAAATCTAAGGTTCATTTTCAAAACGTTATAACGACTTTTCAATTGTAAAGTATGTAAGCCAGCGTGCGAGCCGGTACAGTAACGGATAATTGCGAAGCAGGTGTCCGCAAAGGGACAGCTCCAGGCCATTGCTGCCACCGCAGAGGCTGCACATGTTTCTTCCTGATTGTGGTGCCTGACTCCACGCTTGTCACCTCCTTGCTTTCCCTTCCTTCTGCCATTGACGTGTGCTTTCCTGGGTCACACGTTTTGTTTGGCCTCTTCTGGGGCCTGGCTTCTTCTGCCTCACGTTCCTCATGACGTCCAGCTAGGTTGTTGTGTACAGATGACATTTGTCCCATTATCTTTCTTCCATCACCTTGCTTGGTTCAGGTCACCCGGAAGCCACGTTATAAATATACATTCACAGAGGATAAGTCCTGCTGGGTAATCCAGATCTCAGGGAGCTTTCTCTGGTCTGGGCAAGGGGCAGGGGCTCCTCGGTGGGTATGGGGTAGGGTGCTGGGGTGAGTCAGAATTTTGGGTGGGAATTGGTCCCTGGGGACGGATGACTTCGAAGGAGTCTTAACTCCAGTGCATTTTGAATATACAGCAGGGACTGGCCTGGCTCTGAAGGGACTTAAGGGACCAAATCTGGCACGAGGCTCTCAGGAGGATGTCCTGAGAGCCCGTGCCCGGCAGCAGGGACTTTCCCGCGAGGCCTGAAGGGGACAGATGGAGAAGAGGGGGGCCTAGGAGGGCCCCGGAGCCCCGCATAGCCGGGGAGCTCGGGGAGGGATTGTGAGGGCCCAAACGTGTGGTTGGACTTCCTGTGAAGCTTGGGGGGAAGGTGGCAGCAACAGTTCCGCCCAGGACAGGAGCATCTGTCTTTCTGTTTCCACCTGTGTGTGAGGGGGCGTCTGGGCTCCCAGGGTGGGGGGAGGCCAGAGGCTGCTTGTAGTCGGCCGAGAGGGTTCTGCGTGGCTGGCTCCAGCAGGCTGCCTGTCCCACACCCCATCTCCGTCCGACCTCTCTGAACTGCCCATGTTGCTTCCAGCCTTTAGATCTCTGTAACCCGGCCCGGACGCTCCTGCTGTCTGAGGAGCTGCTGCTGTACGAGGGGAGGAACAAAGCAGTCGAGGTAAGGCTCACACACGTGTGTCCCGGCTGGGCGTTCACCGGCATCCTCCAGGCCCCTAATGTTTCTCTTCCCGGGGGTCTTTCTTGTTTTTGTTTATGCTTTTTTTAAATAAATTTTTAATGTTTTTTTATTTCTGAGAGAGAGAAAGAGACAGCGTGAGCAGGGGAGGGTCAGAGAGAGAGGGAGATACAGAATCTGAAGCAGCCTCCAGGCTCTGAGCTAGCTGTCAGCACAGAGCCCGACGCGGGGATCAAACCCACGAACTGTGTGATCATGACCTGAGCCGAAGTCGGACACTCAACCGACTGAGCCACCCAGGCGCCCCCGGTGGTCTTTGAATTGTATGGTCTCAGGGTAGAAAAATCCTGCAGTCTTCCACCCTCCTCCCCTTCCATACCCCTCCTTCCCAAATAGCTACCCAGCTTTTGCTTGTACATCTCTAGCCATGGGGAACTCGCTACCTCTCAAAGCTGTTTAGTCCATCTTTGGTGGTTAGAAAGTATTCTCAGTCCCTCAAGACGTCCCGCTGCTTATGGCAACTTCCCCTCAGGATCAGGAGAGGTGGCGGCTCACCCCAGCTGTGATGAGCGACTGTGGGTAAGACGATTAGAGCTGTTAGCCAAAGACCATTTTTGAAGGAGCATCACTTAACTCAGGTTTTCTGGGTCTGTACTAACCCGAATCCCAAACCCTCTTCTGAGGGGCCAGTCTATGATTTCTCCTGGGCTCTGTCCCTACCAACAGAGGCCTGGGTGTGGAGATCATGCCATTCTGCCTGGAAGCCGGCCTCGGCTTCTCCCTAACTGAGGGATTTCCCTCCCAGATGCAATGCCCGGAGCCGGCTCGGTCCTGTAAAGTCTACTTGGCACAGAAGTTCGAGCCCCGGGATCTGACCAGACTCCTGGGGGCTTGCTGCTGGTCAGGCCGGCAGTGGGGCTTGGCTGAGCTCAGTGACAGCTTGGGGTGGCAGAATGATCAGGAACCCTGGAGGAGGCTGGCCGCCTGCAGCCAGCTCCTGTTCTGCTGCTGGCTCACTCGTGACTTCTCTGTCCTTCCTCCGTGCCCTCATCTGAAGGGCGTGTGGATTGGAGGCAGCTGAGGTTGGCTGATCTTGAAGGGCCCATAATGGGACATTCTGTGTACATTCTGTATAATTGTGGCTAAGCAGGAGGGTGCTCGAGTGTATGTGTGTGTGTGTGTGTGTGTGTGTGTATGTGTATGTGTGTGTGTGTTTCAACAAGGGGACCAGCATTTTCTTCTTCACGGGAACTCCCTGGGGACACTGCATGCTTATTTCTCCCACACTGGCATTGAACTTCCTGATGGAGACCTTTCTTAGGAATGTTGGCCTAGCTTCTAAATTGCCCGGGAGAGAGTAAAGCTTCATGTTGTTGAGGGGGGATTTGAGTTTCAGGAACAAGAAGTCACTTGCAGCTGTGCTTGGTGAGTTAGTGTGTGGAGCTAAAGGCCAAGGGTCAGAAAATGAGGTGTGGCTGTAAATTCACAAGACCCAGAGGAAGGCAGAAACGGCAGCCGTCCTGAAATATACACATATGTCTAGATTGGCTTTTCTGTTTGTCCCCTCGCCATCAGGTGCTCAAACACCGAGCACTTACTGTGTATTCTCACTATGCACGCGCTTTACCTAGTAGGTCTTAAATGAGCTCCTGAAGTATCCTCTTGAGAGTGGGCCCAGTTGTCCCTACTCTACAGATGAGGAAGCTGAGGCTCTGGGGAGATTAACTGGAACTCCAGGGTCTCAAAGCCCATAAGGGATGGATTCCGGATCAGCAGTTGGTTCTCTGGCTCTGCGGTGCTTTGAGGACCCCATGCTGCCACTCGCATGTTTGTTTGAAAACAGATGGCGAGCACATGGCTGGAGCCATAGCCCGATTATAGTTACAGTCTGTCCAGGAAATCTTTGTCTACTGGATCTTTGGTGCCTTAGAGCCAAGAGATCCCTTTTGAAGATTGCAAGAAGTGATACAAAGACAAGTGAAACAAATACATGTCTTTTTCATGACATATGTTAGCAAGGAAATGCATGGATCTTGGTACCTTCAGGTCAAAAGTCTAGACCAATTGGAGAGGGGCTTGGATAAGTTTGTAGAATGGCAGCGTTGGTTGGGCCCTTGGGAGCTGCCCGTTCTGATGGCTTCTCTGTAACCTTCCGGCTGATGGTTTCCAGCCCGTTTTGGATCTGTAGAGGCAGGCGCTCGAAGCATGGGTTTTGTTCCTGGAGAGTGCCAGATTGTAGAATGTAGCCCGTAACAGAAATCTTTATTCCTGGCATGCCTCCTGCCCTTGTTCTTCTTCCCATCTCTTCTCCGAGGATCCTCCTGTTTGCTAACGTCTGTGAGCTGATGCAGTATGGCACTGAGCTGCCCCCGGTCATACCCCCTCCCAGGAGTCACACACTTGACTAACGGACCCGGAGGTCAGATCGACATCATGGAGTAGCCTCACTCACCTGTTCAAACAAGAGCCGTTGAGCGTCTAACCTGTGGTCAGGCCCAGTGCTAGAGGTCACGGGGGCACAGGACAGACACACCCTCACATTATGCACTGACTCACTGAGTTTACCATTAACTAAGGCACCAAGGTCTTTTGGGCAAACCCTGCCTTTAGGCAAGATCTCCAGAGAAAGCTTGGCAAAGGCTGCTTGGAAGAAGTGACCCTCCAGATTGCAAGGATTTCTTAACCAAGCCATCTCTCAACCCTTGACCCTGGGGGAAAACAGGTGTGCCCTTGGAACATGTGTGGGGAAGGCAGCAGGTAATTGGGCCGTGGAGACGGGCATCACGCCACCGTGGGTTCTGTTGGAAGAAGGCCAGCATGGCGCTGGTGACTTGGGAGAGGCCCCCCGCCGCCCTCCCCTGGCACACTCTTACCCCTCTGCCCCGCCTCCCGCTGTGTGCCAGCTCTGGCCTTTCCCTGACCCGACCTTTGGGGAAATTCTTCATTCATGCCTTAATCACTTCCTGTCTAGACCACATTCTCCGCTCTGGGAATCGGGGCCAGAGTAGTGGGCTGGAGCTTTCTCACCTTGTCCATGGTTCTTCTCCCGTTGCCGTCCGCCCAGCTGTCTCGGAGCCTGGGACTTTTTTTTTTGACTTCTTAGGTTCCTGACAGACTGCCTCCTCAGACCCTTCCCTGACCAGCTTCCCTGTGGGTCCAGAGGTGACTGCCGGCTTTCTTTATAGTGGGAAAGCCTCCAGGTTTGCTCCGAGAATCCGCCTCTCACTCCCTTCTCAGCTCTTAGGTCATCTTCTTCCCCTCCCTTAACTTCAGTTTTGGTCTCCTTTGCTTTGCTGTTTGGGTCACTGCTTGGATTCTTTCACATTCAGGGGCAGGACAGCTGTAGGCATATTGCTACCTCTCCATATAGTGAAAGCTTTGGGGTCAGCTAGACCTAGGCAGTGGTCCCTGGCTATGTGGCCTTGGACAGGTCACTTAAACTCTCTGAGATGCAGAGTCCTCATCTATAAATAAAGGCAGTCATGTTATTTACAAGTGAAAACCCACTGAGCAGAAAGAAAGAACTTAACAGATGGGAGCTTCTTTTGGGCTGTGGTGGGTCAAGACTGGTGTGGAAAGGGGCCGGAGATAGTCACCAGCCCGGGGTTCCTGAGTTCTCGTATTTGGTCCCTGTGGGACAAGTTAGAGCCACCGAGAGCCTTCTGTTCAAGGACACCCCCTATTGTCTCCATGTCCCAGATCCCTTCAAATGTCTGTGTTTGTGCCAAGCGGTCCTTTGAAAAATATTTATATATTTTTAAATCACAAAAGTAATAGACTCTCTTGCAATACAGTGCAAATTAAACAGAAATGTATGAATTGAAATTCTACTCCCCAGAACAAAGAGTATGGGGAGTATCTCAGACAAACATATAAATTGACAGTTTTTATTTTACAAAATTGGACTAAATGGTAGGTATTTTTGCACGTTGCACTATTTGCCTTACACAGTATAGGGTGGGCGCTACGTGGCAGAAATCTGCCCACATTTCTGCCCGCATAGCTCTCCTTTATTCTTTAAAAAAATTTTTAAAAACATTTATTCATTTTTGAGAGACAGAACATGAGTGGGGAGGGCAGAGAATCTGAAGCAGGCTCCAGGCCCTGAGCTGTCAGCATAGAGCCTGACGCGGGGCTCAAATCCATGAACTGTGAAATCCTAACCTGAGCCAAAGTCAGACACTTAACCGACTGAGCCACGGAGGAGCCCCTTCTTTATTCTTTAAGTAGTTGCATACAGTTCTAGCATAGGGAGGTAGGAATAATTTATTTTATCCATCCTCTCTCAATGGGCATCTGTGTTCTTTTTTATTACAAAAATGCTGCTGACAACATACTTATGTTTTAACATTAATATATCCTCGTAAGCATTTCTGTGGGACAGGGCATCAGAGGTGTAGGTGGTAGGTCCGTTAACAATCTGATAGTTCAATGTCAACATGTTGACTGTTAAAACTTCAGCAACCGCCTGGCACATACTGGCTGTGGCCTTCGGGGGTGCATGCGAAGCCCTCTGGCTGATTCTTCTTGCCTCAGGAGAGGTGAAGTGTCAGCCAGTGACACCTCCAAGGAAAGTTCATGTAATTAATAATATGCTGTCCTCTTTGGAGAATATAACCTTGGATTTTTATTGCCTTTAATGAAAGTCCACTGCAAGAGCAGTGTAATCTTCAGCGGCATTAGGGGATCAAGTGGGTGTTTTTAGCATGAAACTATGCGGAGCATGCCTGTTGGTTTACCTATACTGTCTAAAAATAGCTTTCTCCTTTATTTTTGGAGCGGCTAGCGCATAAAAAAGAGATAAAAGTCCCATACGTGTCCGTACTGGAGCGTAAACAACTGGCTTTTTCTTGAACCAATTATGCGTTAAGGCAGTTAAAATGATCTGCGAGGAATGTGGCAGCAAAAGGACTCACACTGCACGATGCTTCGATTCGAGGTCTGCACAGGGCCCATGAAAGACGCCTGTGAGGGACCTGGGCAGGGGCTCTCGGTGTCTGTATGGACGAGACAACCGGAGCCGAGGGTTCGGGGACCCTAACCAAGTTTTCACGGCTCCTGAGCCGGGGTAGGAGCCTCAGGACTTCCGATTCCAAGTGCAGTGCTCTTCCAGCCAGATGTTCGGAGAACGCAAGCAAACATGCAAACATCCCTCAGCTCCAGGGAGAGATTCCAGGGGCGGTTAGTCGGAAAGATGGCCCGGGGTGGGGGGAGGGTGTTGGGCTGTGGGGGGGCCCTCAGGGGTCACCTGCCGTGGAAGGTGAGGCTCCTGTGTTAGCCTGCTTTTCCCACCGTGACAAGGAGTGGAGGTGGACAACCCCATAGAGACAAGGAGAAGTCTGATTGCAGATCAAGTGTCTGCCTTTGGCCGAGGCCACGCTGAGAGTCTGATCCTGGTCTAGTTCTGCCCGAGATGATGAGGACCCCTTGGCCAGACCTCCCTGGGAGGCTGTGGCTCCTGGCCTCTGGGACAGCAGAGCAGCCAGCTGTGTTTGCTCCCTCGTGATGCAGGTGACGCTATTTGCCTACTCGGATCTGCTGCTCTTCACCAAGGAAGACGAGCCGGGCCGCTGCAACGTCCTGAGGAACCCCCTCTACCTCCAAAGTGTGAAGCTGCAGGAAGGTAAGTGTGGACCCGAGATGTCCCGGACCCCCTTACACTGCCCTGAGTCCTGGGTAGCACGGATGTCCCGTTTGGATCCGGCGCCTCCGACAGCAGGGCTGCCAGCCATCCGTGGGGCATTTGAGCGTGTGTGGTAGGGTCAGGTCCTGCCCCCAGCTCTCAGAGACTGCCTTCCATTCTAGGCTGTACCCCCTGAGCTTTGCTGGGAGGTTTCTGTCCCAGACACATTTCAGGGAGGCCATGGAGTGGAGTGGGAAGAGCTTTGGATTCAGACCTGTGTTTGAATCTTGGCCCTGCCCCTCACCACCTGTGAGTGTGGGCAAGCTCTACTCAACCTCTTTGCGCCTGTTTCCTCACGTGCAAGTGGGGCTACCAGTAGGCTGTCGTGAAGATTAAGTTAGGTCAGGGGCGCCCGGGTGGCTCAGGGGATTAAGCATCCGACTTCGTTCGGCTCAGCTCATGATCTCATGGTTTGTGGGTTCAAGCCCCGCGTCCGGCTCTGTGCTGACAGCTCAGAGCCTGGAGCCTGCTTCGGATTCTGTGTCTCCCTCTCTCTCTGCCCCTCCCCCACTCATGCTCTGTCTCTCTTTCTCTTTCTCTCTCTCTCAAAAATAAATAAAACATTAAAAAAAAAAAAAAGGATTACATTAGGTCACATGCAGAATGCCTGGCCCACGCCAGGTGCCCAGGCCATGCTAGCTGCCGCCCCCACATCCCACCTGTAACCTCAGTGGGGGAACCCTGCTCCTTCATCACCCAGCTGCATCGCCCAGGCCAGAGCCTCCAGATTGGGGAGCGCGTGGGAGCGTGAGGCGAGCGAACATCTCCCCGCAAACTTTCCACTCGGAGGAGGGGAAGGGGAAGCCAGCTGGGAGTATCTGTTGAGCGGTTTGGTTTGGCGCCTGAAGTCTGCCGAAAGGGGCTCGATTTCCTCTCCCAGATTATGAAAACAACAACAGACCTGTTTGAGCATGGGTGACAGGGGCAGGGAGGAAAATATTACCCAGCGAAAGAATTCTGTTTTGACGGGTTTTGCTCCAGGAAAACTTCCTGCCTGTTTGCAGACCTGTCCTGTGTTCCTGTGTGTTCGGTGCACCCGCTGTTCTTCCTCCTTAGAAACCCGGGGGGTGTGAGAACCTCCACTCGGGCTGCCCCAGTCAGGAAGTCGCTCACAACTTCTCCTTCTCTGTCTCGAGCTTTCTCCTGTCCACTGACCAGGGCAGTCCCTGAGGGGGAGAAAGCAAGTCACCTCTCCTGGGGGCAGCCCTTCCCTCGGGGCGGCTCGGCCTGACCAAGGAGGTGAGGAGCGACCCTCTGAGCAAGTTCAGCCGGGACCCTGGCTCCCGGTGGCCCACGGGAGGGGGCAGGTGAGAGCTAGGGTAGGCTCCGCCCTTGGCTTCCCTGCCCCTCCCTGTTTCCCTCAGATCCGGCTTCCCCTGCACACCAGCTCTCCCTGCCACCCCCCTGCAAGCTTACTCACAGGCCCACTCACTGTGCAGGCCCTTCCTCTGTGGGCCTGCGCACCCCGGCTCAGACCATCAGGGTCCATTTAGGGGTTGGGTGCTCGGTAACGTGCGCTGATTAGTTGTAAGAACTGAGCCCTCACTCGGTTGTGCTCATTCTGCTCCTTGCTCGGGTGTGGGCCCACAAGCCCAGGCCCTTCGTCTGCTCAGCTTCCTGCTAGAAGGAGGGAGGGGAGAGAAGAGGGGCTCAAACTGGCTGTGCTTTGGGCGGGGCTTGGAATGGGAGAGAAGAGGGCATGGAAGAACCCAGGGTAGTAGCCGGGTGTTTGGAGTCCGGGCTCGGCTTTGCTGCTGACGTGCTGTGTGACTTCAGTTGGCCCTTTGCCTTTTCTGGGCTCTGGTGTCTCTGTGAAAGAAGGGTTGGGCCAGCCCTTTATGTTGTTTCCCAGCCCTGACATCCCCACACGGCCCTGAGGTTGTTGTGAGATGCTGGACGGCGCCCATATGTCCTCCCTCCACCCCTTGGGTGGGGGGCCTCGGCTGGGCATTGGTTGGATCTTCCCCTCCCGGAGTCCTCAGACCCATGTCTTGAAATTAGAGTCTGGGTGAGCTCCGTCTTCCACTGGGAGGCGGCTGGTCAGAGTGGGTGGTGTGGGGCCCGCGGTGCTGCAGAGAAACCTTCCAGATGCTGAGCTCATGTGAACAGCGGCCTTGTGGAGCCTTCCTGGAGCTGGAGACCACATCCTCTCCCTGAAAACGGTGGGCTGAAGGTGGCCAAGGCCGGCCCTCCTCAGGAGAGACAACCACGGTCATCAGAGCCCGTTGGGTCGGTGTGGGTGTGGGGCGTGTGCACGAGTGTTCACGTGTGTGCCTGTCCTGGGCTTGCCGGGCAGACAGTTTGGTGCAGACATGTTGCGTTGCTCCCCTCCAGCAGTGCCAGCCAGCAAACAGCGAATGCGCCTCTCCATGGACGTGGCTCTGTGACACTGAGCGCCCAGGTGCACGTTCCGTGGCTTAGATTTCTCCCCAGGTGTTGGTGGACCCCCTGCCTACGACCCCCCCACCCCCATGCCCCAGAGACAGGCTGAGGGCCCTGGGGTTTGCAGAGGTCCAGTGTCCCCTCCTCTTGCAGTCGGAGTTGGAGCTGTGGGACCCAGGGTCCTGGCGCCCGACTCCTGCCCGTCTCCCTGGCACCCAGAGAGACCTGCGGCTGCAGTAAGTGCCAGAGTGAGGCCCTTAGGGATCCATTTAGGGCCTCAGCTGGAGCTTCTGTGGCAGAATGTTCTCTGATTAATGTTGCTTGTGCCTCTCAGGTGTGTCCCTTTCAAGTCAACATGTGTGGAAAGTTCATTTTGGGGCAAACAAGATGGTAACAAGGAGCACACCCGCCTTTCCTGTAGGCTGGGGTCGGGGCAGGGGCTGGGGTCTACCCCACCCAGGGACCAGTGACTCCGGTGTGTGACTTGCCCGAATGGAGCTTAGCTCTGCTGGCCAAGCGTCGTCCCAGGGCCTTGCATGAGGCACAGAACACCGTGGTGCCCAGTGAATGGTCATTGGGTGGTGGAATGCATGAAGAATAGGGCATAAAGCCCTAGACGCTTGAGGGCTGGGGGCCCACTTCTCCTCCAGGGCTCCCAGCTGGTGGTGGTCACTTAACCCTGCCTCCTCTGCCCAGCATCCCCCAAGCCTCAGCAGGTCTGAACGGCAGTGTAATGGGAACAGGCGGAGGGCTGGCGCTAACAATTGGGACATCTCCGGTCGTCCGGGGCCCATTGTGGCCTCTTCCTGCCTCTGCCGCCCACTGGCTTTGCTGGCCTTTGTGTTTCTACCTCCCTGGCGGCCAGCATCCCGCCCACTGGGTGTCTTCCTGGCCTGCTCTGGTCTTTCAGGATGGCCTGGAAATGCCCAGCTGATTCTCAGGCTCTCCATCCACCCGGGGGGGGGGGGGGTGGCCGGGTACCCAGTCTTGGGAACTGAGCTGCGCGGGTCCCAGCTGCTGGACTGCCCTGGGGTTCAATGTAGTCAGTCGACAGTTGCCGAGCACATCCTCAGAGCTCATCTCAGTGCCGGCTGCCAGGGCGACAACAGGGAAGGAGACTTCAGTGTGGGGAGCAGAAGTGTGACGCGCTCGTCAGAACATATGCTTTGGAGGCAGCTGTCCTGGGTTCAAGTCTAGGCTCTGCCCCTTACTCGCTGCACACCTGTACCCGTTGTTTTCTCTCTCTGGGTCTCAGTTTCTGCAACTGGAAAATGGAAACAACACGCAGAGTGGAGAGGGCTTGGCGAATGGCTGAGCTTGAGGTCCCAGACCAGGCTTGAGAGGGCTCTGGAAACATGGCAAAGGGGTCAGACCTGGGTGGGGAAGCCACCTCCGCACCTCTGGGACTCTCCCTGCACGGCCCACGAGTCTTGGGGGGGAAGCAGGGTTCACCCTGGAGCCGACGACTTCTTGTGGAATTCCCAGACGTGAAGGAAGTTCCCCACCTGTGTGCTGCCTCCGTGTCCCTGGCCTTCACACTCACCCCTGTTTCCACACCGTGGGGGGCCCGGAGCCAGGTCTGATGGCACGGAAGGGGTTCTGATGCCATGGAGACAGCTCTCCTGGGTCCACCAGCTTGCAGCCCGCTTTTCTGCAGCTGCGGCTCCGTCCTGGCACCCTGGGCTCCCGAATTTTGTTGTCCCCGTATGAGGCGGTGAAGCATGCTGAGCAGTGACCCCATTCCGTCCTTCTCTCAGAGCGCTGCCAGCACCAGGCCGTGACGTGCAGTGGGTTTCAGTGAAGGTTTGGGATAATGTAGGAGGGTGGTGGCAGGGGGTGTCACAGGACAGGAAAGTTGTCAAGCAGTCGCTAGCCACCCCTAGCCACTGGGGGTATGTGTCAGGCTGTTTCCCCCAGCCCCGGGCCTCCTGTCTCCCTGAGGCTCCTGCCTCCTTGGCTTTCCCATCCCTTCTAGAGCCTTCTTTCCTCTCACTACAAGCATCTGAAATACAAATTTCTGTTATTTTCTTACATGGAGCTTTTTGTTTCTCTCTTGGCACTCAGATCTGCTTCTCGAAAGTCAAGGAGACATCCAAGTATGTTTTCTTAAACAAAAAAACCCACCTTCCCTTGTCTCCACCCTCGCAAGGCAAGGAGTTGGCAGAAGCTTTCAAATGAGAGGTGGTTTTTTCCCTAAGCTTATTTATTTATTTTGAGAGAGACAGAGATAGCACTAGTGGGGGAGGGGCAGAGAGAGAGAATCCCAAGCAGGCCCCACACTGTTAGCGCAGAGCCCGATGCAGGGCTCCGACTCACGAACCCCCGAGATCGTGACCTGAGCCGAAACTAAGAGTCTGACATACCAACTGAGCCACCCCAGGGGCCCCTCAAATAGGAGATTTCTTAAACATGATGGGGCGCTTTAGGTGGGGCCCTCTCTCTTCTAACTCTCCTTTATTTTTTTTTAATTAAATGTTTATTTATATTTAGAGAGAGAGACAGAGAGACAGAGAGAAGATCCCAAGCAGGGCTTGAGGCTTTGATGAAGGGTTCAAACCCACGAACCTTCAAACTGTGAGATCATGACCTGAGCTGAAACGAAGAGTGTCAGTAGAGGCCTACCCCCACTGGGCCACCCAGGGGCCCCCTCCAAACCCTCCTTTAAATGTGGAGAAGTAGAAGGATTTCTTCTAAGTCCAAAGTGAACCCCCACTTATTTATGGATTTTTAAAAATAGGCTCCACGCCCAACGTGGGGCTTGAATTCATGACTCTGACACCAAGAGTTCTCATGCTCTACCGATTGAGCCAGCCAGGCACCTCACTTATGAACTATTTTTATCTGGCACTTGCTGGCACCCCTGGCCTTAGGGATAGTTTTAGCCAGGGAACCACCCACGTATGTGCTTCCGGAGGGGCCTGGCCTTCACCCACATGAGGGCCTTTTCTTAGGAATTGGCTTGACCAGCTGTCTCTGTTACCTTGTCACCTTGACTTTGCAGCACGTTTTGGTTCATTGGGCAATTTCTTTGATTCCACTATGTGTTGAGCCTCAGTTTCCTCACACGAATCATGGATAACAATCACCCCTGCCCCACAGGGGTGGCTGCAAGGTCAGGCTTATACACGCAGCGTTTGGCACCGTGGGTGGCACGTGGCACTGTACGTTTGTGTTGTCATATGTGTTGTACGGTTCATTCTCTCAAGAATGACACCTGCCCAGTGAGGTCAGTTGCTTCACATTCAGGAAATTACTAACCATGCCTGGTCTGTGCCCAGAAGAATGACCTGGGAGGGGGGAGTGCGCCGATTCCGAGGTGCAGCCCACAACAGCAGGGGGTGGGGTTGCTTCTTCCCTCTTGCCGTCCCTCGAACCACACCTTGTGCTTCCGCACCTACATGCCTTTGCTCATGCTGTTCCACCTCCTGGAGTGTCTTTTCTTCTCAACTTGCATTCAAGTTCAAGAGGATCCTCCTCCAAGAAGCCTTCCCCAACAGGCTGGGGACACCTCTTGATCTTCACGTTTCCGAAGCACTCTGACCAAATGCATCTTCTGCAGGTGCTCTTCCTTAGCTCCTCTGCTGTGGGAGCAGAGAGCCCGATGGTCCCTCCCAGGTGGAGAGGCAGGGGATGGTTGAATTTGGGATTAGAGATCGGGACTCCAGGAAAACATACCAAGGGGCTGGGTCTGGGCTGGGAAGCCATCTATGGGCGACATCCAGCCCATGATTGAGGACCTCACTGCACAGCCCACCCATTTCTAGGTCCATCCAACCAATGAGTGGATTTCAAAATGGTGAAGGCAGTTGAGAGCATTTAAAGGAAAACCCAAATGTGTGCTGCCTCCGTGTCTCTCATCACAGAGAGCAGGGAAAGATGGAGGCCTCCTAAAGTGGCTGACAGCTCCCTGTGTGTGGCTGTTTGATGCCCAGAGGGGGCTCATGAGGGTAGGACCCCAACATCCCTTGGGTGATGCTGACCTGTGGGCAGAGGCCTTACTGCTGTGCCTTAGTCTGCTTGGTCATTAAGTGGGCTTTCCTCCGGAGATTCCCCCATCATCTGTGCCTGCCTCTTTCTTCCTCTTTTTCCAGGAAGTACTGCATACAGGCTTCTGGGCAAGGCAGCTGGCATTGCTCTGCAGCCAACCCTGACGCATGTCTTACTTTTTGTTCCCTCCAAGGTTCTTCAGAAGACCTGAAATTCTGTGTGCTGTATCTAGCAGAGGTGAGTCCTTGCCCTTGATCGGAGGAGAGAGCTCTGTGGCCTGGTGCTAGGGAGACGACACTGTGCTGGCTCTCGTCCAGGGCTCTGATCTCAGGCTCCACGTTATCTCGTACGGTGGTCCTGGGCAGCCTTCCCACCCTGTAGAATGGGAACAGCAGTCCCTGCCTCAGTGCCTCCCACCTCTGCGTGGAAGAGCAGTGGGCACAGAAGTGCCTAGAGGGGACAGAAGGATGTTGTGATCCCCTGCTTGGGAACCTCTCATCTCCAGCGCCTGCGGGGGTCACAGTCAGGGTGTGGCCGGACAGCTGGTAGCCCTTCTTATTTACCTAGCTGGTAGCCCTTCTTCTGGAGAGATCTATGATTCTTGTGCCTGCCTCTTTCTTCCTCTTTTTCCAGAAAGTACCACCCATGACCCCTCCTACAGAACTTTGTCAGTGTTTTAAAAGGCCTGAAGGTAACTGCATCTTTACCTGGGCCAGATAATGCAGGCGAAAGAAAATATTAAGTGCCCATGTTTGGGGCTAGAATAACGTGGTTGGTATTCTTGGTTATTTCGGTCTGATCAGAAGCTCATACGAGCAGCGCTATGCCTTCGCTGGACAAAATCAGGCAACCAACTTACTGCTTTGGAAGATAAAATGTCATCAGACCAGGGGCTTAATCACAGAAGTCCATGGCAATGAAAAAGTTGAGAGCCACCGAGTCATACAGACCCTTAAATTTTCAGCAGATTTTCTGTTCCCAACCTCGGGTGTCTGCTGATATGAGCAGGGGCAGTATCTGAGCAAGGAGGCATTAGACCCATTCCTGTCCTCTGCTTCTGCTTGAGTCAGTCCCGCCTCACAGCCCAGGGAATGGGCCAGTCTCACGGGACAAGATGCTGGGTAGGGCATGGTCTACGCTAGCTGGCCGAGAGGAGTACACCCTTTTGGGAAGGAATGTGTATGTCGCCTATGATTGAAAAATCACTCCTTTGTTTCCTGGCTGTGAAAAGAGGTACAAGCCCTCGAGGGAGTCCCCTTGGGTGAACAGATGCCTGGGGGAGAAGACGGTTGACCAGTTAGCTTCGGGGGAGAGCAGAGAGTTCCAAAGGGCGGTGGCCATTGTCGGAGCTGAGCTGGGGACCTCGACTAACTACAGTGGCAAGCTGAGGGCCAGGAAGGCATTCGATGTCCTCCCCTGTGTTGGCACACCTCCACCAGGCACAGGAAGTAGCTGGGAGGCAGAAAACAGCCTAGGAGCTGTGGACCAGGCTGGGCAAAGCCAGAGCACTGCCCCCTAGCCTCACCCCTCTGGATTCCAGTTCTCTCTGGCAGGGCCTGAAATCGAGCTCTGGGTTCTTTAATGCCAAGAGAGCTTCCAGTCTGGTTTGTTTTTGCAGAGAAAAGCACTTCTGCTTATTGGCTTCCAGGGAACTGTGACCTCCTAGCTCTCCAAAGACTGATGAAGGGATATTGATCCAGGGGCCTTTTATTTCAGTAAAGCGCCAGGAGTTCTGACCTGCAGAGGCTGGGAGATTGGAGCTCACAGGCATCCAGAAGCCTCTCTCTTCTCATAACAGGGCTGCCGTTTGTGAGGCATGGCTGTCACGGGAAGATGAGATGCCTGCTTGCTCTGTAGCCCCACGCAGGCTCCACTTGATGGTTTTGGGTCCTCATGGGGAACCCCAAACTCACATCTTAATGGGAACTTCTGACAATTAGTTTATCTTCATTGTCCAACATGCAGGGCCCCCCCCAAAAGAAACTCAGGCAAGAGAGTCAAGATTTGGAGAGATTTTCCCACTTCTTTCAGAAAACCCCACTTGCCTGGGTGCTGGGTGGGACTGTCCTATGTAGCCGTTGGCCCTAGAGTCTTTCTCCTGGGTATCCCTCCACCCCTGCAAATCCTTGGGGCAGATGCAGCCCCCTCTGCTGGCTTCAGAACACCGGGCCAAAGGGCATGTTGGCCAAGGACCGTCTCTTCAAATCTTTTTTTTTTTTTAATGTTTTATTTATTTCTGAGAGAGAGAGAGAGAGAGAGTGTGAGCAGGGGAGGGTCAGAGAGAGAGGGAGACACAATCTGAAGCAGGCTCCAGGCTCTGAACTGTCAGCGCAGAGCTTGATGCGGGGCTCGAACCCACAAACTGTGAGATCATGACCTGAGCCGAAGTCAGACGCTTAACCGACTGAGCCACCCAGGTGCCCAGGTCTCTTCAAATCTAATCCTGGCTCCATTAACCGATGAGCCTGCGCTTTGGGGTTAGGAAGACCTAGACTTGAATCTTGGCTCTGCCCTTTCCTAACTGAATGATCTGGGCAAGTCACATGCTCCTCTCTGAAACAAGGCTGATGGGGCCCACTCGGCAGGATTGTTGTAATGATTAAATGAGATTCAATAAGATACCCTGTTCAAGGCACTTAGCACAGAGCCTGACACACAGTGAGTACTCAATAAATGGTGGTTATTATTATTGTCAGCTTCATACCAGGGGGAGAGCTTTTTCATATTCATTTATTCTCCATTAGACACATCACCAATGATTTATTGACCTTTTAAAAAGAAAGCTAGGAGGAATATCTCATGCTCTTTGTAATGTACGTATAGAGTTATACAAATGTGGGAAGGTTCCAGGCTCCAGAGGAGGCAGGAGACAGAATTTGAATCTCCTTCCCGGAGGTCTCCTGCGGCATCTGGCTTAACTTCTCTGAGCCCTAGTGTTCCCATCTGGAAAATGGTAACGGCTGTGCCTTTCCTTCCTACCTGTGTCATAAGGTCGTTATAATTAAGTGGGAGGAATTTTGTCAAAGCAGATGAACAAATAGTAGCAGAAGAGGTTTTAGTTCATAAAAGGTTATATTAATTCAGGAACAAGGAGGTAAGGCAAGATGGGTTTCTTTAAAATAATTTTTTAAATGTTTATTTTATTTTTGAGGGGGGAGGCAGAGTGTGAGTGGATGAGGGTCAGAGAGCAAGGGACACAGAATCCGAATCAGGCTCCAGGCTCCCAGCTGTCAGCACAGAGCCCAACACAGGGCTCGAACTCACGATCCCTGAGATCATTACCTGAGCCGAAGTCAGAGGCTTAACTGACTGAGCCACCCAGGCGCCCCAAGATGGGGGTTTTAAAGAGGCTGGGTGGACCTGGGTTTCTGGTTGGATGTGAGGATGCTCATGTTTGAATGCAGACGTCTGGGCCCAGTGCCGCTCCAGCAGGAGGCCCTGCCTCTGAGTGAGTCACGTTAGGATGCCTTCGGGGCCGCTTACAGCCTTGACCGTGACTCCTGGTATTTGAGGGCACAGTGTGCAACAGCATTGAAACCAAAGAGTTAGACCACACAGGGGACTGAGAGAGACTGTTCATATGCTGGGCAGCCAGGCAGGCAATGGGGTCCCTGAAGTGGATGGATTTCAACAGATGGGAATTCAGCTTCCCTGGAGGGAGTTGGTTCTGTGCTCGCTCGCTCTCTCATCCAGACCAGCCTCCAAAGCTCCTAGAAAGGAACCTTGGGAGGAAGGGCCTTCTCAAAATGTTTGTCCGTCCAAGACAGCCCACTCCCGGCCCTCGGAGAGGCCTGGGGTTAGGTCTTCGGTGCCTTAGAAGGCTTCCGGACTCTAGCATTATGGGGCTTTCAGCTTCAGGCTCTCAGAGCCAGGCACCTAGCCTCCCCGAACCCTGCTGTTGAGACAGGTCACGTGGTCACCATCCCAGGTGGAGAAATAGGACTTTCTAAAAGGAGATTATCCACAGGGCGGGGAGAGGAAGTGGTTCTTGGGATGTCAGTAAAGTGGAGATAGTCACAGCTTCTGCCTTGCAAGTTGTTGAAAGAAGGATCAAGACCTACTGGCGAAGGGCTTCGCGCCATGCGGGGCATGGCGTGTGACAGGGACGTCTCAAGCTTAGGACGCCGGCAGCCCTGTCACTGTGAGGGGAGGCTTTCCTGCACTCTTGTGGGAAGGGACCGCCATCCTGGAGCTCGGGGTAGGGCAGGGGTATACAAAAAGCTACCAGTGAGTTCTGCATCCGCTTTGAGACTCATCGGCTGATAGAGCTCTTCTGAAAGCTTTTGCAGTCTAGCTGCCTCTGGGCTCCGTCTGCAAGGGGGGCCATTCCTGCCAGCCCCCTAGCGGGCCTCCCAGGTTTGGGGGGTGAACTCTCAACTCGTGTTTCTCCAGGGCTTTGAGCCTTCCTTCTGCTGCTCGCTGGCCATAAGACTTCACAGAGGCCCTTAGCCACCCTGAGCCTTGGTGCTCCCCTTCCCTGAATCGGGAGTAACTGTCCAAGCCCTCCCTACCTCTTCGTGGAATTGCCAAGAGCAAAATGAGAGCATGGCTGGGAAAAGTGCTCTTTCAATTTGATAATGAGGTAAAACGAATTATTATTTAGGCAGAATTCCTGGCTTAGAACAGAAGGAGAGGAGGTTTGGGTCCGGGAGATGAAGGGATTTGCTGAAGCCCAAACAGCTAGGGAGAGGCAGGGCCAGCTTTGTGGGAGATGCAGCCTTTCCATGGAAGGGACCATGGTCCTTGCCTCACTGCTCACCCGACAGGGGACTGCGAGGAGACAGATGGGCTCCTGCCCCTAGCTGGCTTCCCTGCGGGAAATCTGGGGGTCTCTCTTTGAAGGGCGTGTCCTTCCCTTGCAGCGGGTTGGGGGTTCTGAGAAGTGGAGGGAACCTGCCGTTAAGTGATAGGATTGCCTCACCACATCCGCCCAGTTCCCCGAAGCCGAGGGGCGGCACTTTCTGCCCTTTTTCCTCTGATGCTTTTAGGAAGAGCCGCTTCTGAGCACTTTTGGGCAGGAGCGGAATGGCCAGCTCCTTGGAAGCACTTAGCACGGGAGCCAGCCCCGCCCTGAAGGGTGGCATCCCTGAGGGTGGGGTGGGGTAGCAGAACAGAAAAGATCCCCCAGTGCTATCAGATGATGCTCGTAGCCACCTCAGCTCAGAGCCCTCGCATGTGCTGTTCCTCCTCTCTGGAACGATTTCTCCCGATGAGCCGCCTGGCTGGCCCTTCAGAGAGGCCTTCTCTGACTGCAAATAGGCTCAAAGAGGATCTCCCCCTTTTGGCCTTTTCACAATCGGTAATGATATTATTTAATTGTTTACTGGTTTATTATCTCTGCCCCAAGCTGAGGACCGGAGCTCCATCTCTCTTATTTGCTTCTTCACCCCCAAGACCTAGTCAGTCCCTGAAAATTAGCAGGTGCTCAACAACGGTTTGTGAAATGAGTGAAGTATGGGTGATCACAACAGTAGCTGCTGTTCATTGAGGCCTCTGGTCGCTCTCCTTACCTGCTCACTGGCTCTCAGAGGCGGTGATGTCACCATTCCCATTCTATGGACTTCCCTGAGGTCGGCAGCCAGGAAGTGGCAAAGCTGGGATTCAAACCAGGCCTGTCCAACTGCAAAACGAGGGAGAGCCGCATAGAAACACTGTTTTTCTCTGTTCCAAGCCATCCGGCTCATGCTCTTAGCTCCCTGGCTGAGCTCACATAATCGCAGCCCTGTGGGGTTATAATCAAATTCCAGCGGAGTCAGAAAGAGCCTGCCGTCCTCTGACCAGCATGTCCAAGAGTGGATGATGGCCCTGGGCGTGCTGGACCGCCCCACGTGCCGACTCCCGGGGGGCCGACTCCCCGGGTCTTAGCAGCGCCTTGGCGCTGGTGCCAGGGCTGGCCTGGGTTTGACCTCATCCCGGAAGTCCCTCCAGGAGCCAGAGCTCACCGAGGCCATTACTTGCCAAGTCCTCTGCTGGGCCGAGGTGGAAAAGGCCCTCCCGGAAGGACTTTCTGGTCTAGCTGGGGAGACGAGCCTGCACTTAACAAGGTTAGATAACAGAGTGAGATGTGAACAACAGCAGGGCCGGTGCCTGGATCTGTTGGCGTGCTCCACTGAGCTGTGTGGCCACTGATCACACCCTGCTCATGTGCCAGGTGCTGGGGGCGTGGGGGGGGGGGGTTGCTATAGGAGGCCACGTGACTATGCCCGCCAAGACTTTCTAAAGGGACCTGAGTTTCTGTTTGCATTCCGTTGGTATGTCTGTCTAACTGCCCATCTGACTTTGTACACTGAGGTGGGGGAGGGGAGGTTCTGTGAGCTGGAGGAGGGGTCCTGGCTCCACAGAGCATCAGAGGGCTGCAGACCTTGGTCCTCTGGGTTCCCCATGTGCTCCCCCAGCTGCTGCCTTGTGCTGCCTGTCCCCGGGGGTGACCTCACCATCGCTGCCCTGTGGCTCTCCACAGGCCTCCACTGTGTTGGGAACTGGCGCCTCCCACCCTTCCCCCAACCCGCGGGCACGCGGCTCGCTCTCCAGCTGGCCCCCAAGCCAGCTTCCCTGCTCCTCTGGCTGCCTCGATGTCACTGGGGACTGGTGTGCATTTGTGGCTTTTAGTGGGCACTCCCCTCCCTGCTTCAGCCTCGCCCTCGGGAGCCCAGGGAGGTGCTAGGGCCTGGGAGCCCCCTGATCCAGGGAGCAGCCCTGACCATCCTTTTCTCTATTTTCCCTGACGTCAGAAGGCAGAGTGCTTATTCACTTTGGAGGCGCACTCGCAGGAGCAGAAGAAGAGAGTGTGCTGGTGCCTGTCGGAGAACATCGCTAAGCAGCAACAGCTGGCGGCCTCGCCCCCGGAGAGCAAGGTAAGGGCCTCGCCAGTGGCCGCAGCCCTGGCTGCCCGGCTTCCCCTCGGCCAGCCTGGACCCTCAAGCCTCCGAGTTGAGCTTGGGACCAGCTCCAGCGTAGGACTTGGATCTGAGCAACAAGCTCTTAGCAGGGAAGCCCGTGCTTGAAGATCTCTCCCCTTTGGCATCTCACTGGGGCTGTTGAATGGATTTCGATTCCACCGGGTCTGTTGAGTGGGTTTTGCACTGCTCAGGTAGAGTGACAGAGCCTAATGGAGCATGGCCATCACTTCTCGGCTCTGTTCAATGGTTTGCCTACGGCAAGGTCTAATTTGGGTTGGCCTGCCAATGCTGCCTGGCATGTGGCCCCCCTCTGCCATTGGATAGGTCGTGCCCAGGGGCAGCAAGCTGGTGCTTAACACTGGCCGAGGGCAGGCATCGTCGGGAGATGTCTGCGGCAGAAGCTTTTCTAATTCGATGCAGGCCACAGCCGAGTGGAGCCAAGCAGAGTTTGCTGGGGACCAGGGGCTGGCCAGCGGGGGCCTCTCGGAAGATTAGAGCCTCCCGGCTGAGGCTGACCTGGGATAGGCACCCCTCAGCTGGTCCCGTGCCCCTACTGGAGGGAACGGGATGGGAGCCGGACCATAGCCTTCCCCTGTGTCAGCCGGATGCCAGCCACAAGGCGCAGCTGTATTTCCTGTTTGTGAGTCACGCAGGTGGCTTCTCTTTGGTGAAAGTGTTGGAAACCTGGGGATTTGGTCTGGTTGGCCGAGTGAGGATCTGAATGGTTGGTCTGCTGGCTCGGGGAGAGGGGGAAGGACAGTGAGTGCCAGCCAGCAAACTCTCTGGTCTTGTTTCTTCTTCCCCAGGCTTCCAGCAGGCATAGGGAGGGGGCTGCAGGGACAGGCCTGCTGAGGCCAGGAGGTTTCTGGAGAGCCTCCCCTGGACCGGCAGGGGTGCACGGCCGCTCCCCAGCCCTTCCCTAAGGAAGGGAGTCGGAGTCTGAGAATTCTGTGATCCCAGACAGACTTGAACGTTATCTTGTGTGACGCCGGCCAGGGGCAGGAGTAACCTTGATGAGGGAGGATAGTGGGAAGAGCAGGGGCTTCGAGTCACACTCGACTGCTGACTGGCGCTGTGACCTTGGGCAAGTCACTCTACTACTCGGTGCTTTGGTGTCCCCATCTGGGAACAGCAGCCCCTCCTCCAAAGGGTTGCTGGGAGGCTGGAATGAGATGGTGCATATGCAGTTAGTGGCACAGTGCCTGGTATGCAGTAGGTGCTCAATCTGTCATAGTTGATGGGTTGCGCACTGCCCCCACCTCGGCCCCAGCTGCTTACAGCTACCCTCCCACTGCCAGCTTCTTCTGCTCCACAGAGACCTGTCTCTGAGGCCGTAGGCTGCCGGCTTGGTCACAGTCAGAAACCAGGCCACTCTCTTCACTGGGGCGGTCCCTGGGGTGTCCCATGGCTGACCTCATGCCCCATCCTCCCGCCCCAGCTGTCTTCTGTTTGGCACTCAGCTCCTTCTGGTCTAGGGGGAAGAGTTCTTTCTGCTTGAACTTCAGAGTTTGCAGGCTTTGGAGTTGTGGGAAGTAAGTCTCTGTCTTTGGTTGGGAAGACAGTTTGAGCGACTGAAGATGGTCTGGGTTTCTTTACTTTTGAAGTTTGTTTATTTATTTTGAGAGAGAGAGAGAGAGAGAAAAGGCAAGAGCGTGAGCAGGGGAAGGGTCGGAGAGAGAGGGAGAGAGAGAATCCCAAGCAGGCCCTGCGCCGTCAGTGCAGGGCCCGATGCGGGGCCTGAACCCACGAACCATGAGCTGAAGTCAGACGTGTAACCAGCTGAGCCACCCGGGTGCCCTAGTCTGAGTTTCTGAGACGGGCCTTGGTCCCGGCAGGCTGCAGACTTGGCTGGCTGGCGCTGGAAGAGCCCAGGGTTTGGGGCCTGGCTTCAGGGCACCCGCGGCTGCCAAGAGTTAGCCACATCTTCAAATCAAAACTCTTTCGGTGTGCGTTTAATGGAGAAGCTGTGTGTTGGGTGGGGAAGCATGTATAAGGAGGGCCTGACTGCTGAGACAACCTCAGAATTGCCTCCTCACTGAGAACTGGGCCCTGCCGTGGCCCTGACACACCCCACCGGCTCACCCTCCTTAGAAGGGAGTTACGTGAACATCTCTGGTGAAGTAGGCCCCTTGGGGTCTCAAGCCCCAGCTCCCCCGTCCCCACCCCTGGCATACACACTTAATGAGTCTTAGCAACTTATTTGTTCTGGTCACTTAAATAGCTCCCCCAGAGAAGTTCTGGTAGATAGGCTTTTCTCTAGTCCCGCAGAGTGGCCTGGGGGCCATCCAGCCGGCCCAGCGGCCATCCACCAGCGCGCAGCTCCACCGGGTCCTGGCAGCCTCGGAGGTGAGCATGCATGTCTTGGCCAAGGGCTGGGCCGCGGCCTTTCTGCTAAAGTTGCTGACCTCCAGGGAGAGAGGAAAGGGAAGGCCAAGCAGCGCTCAGACCCCAGCTTCTTGCTTTTCAGGCGGAAAGAGGCCCACCTGATCAATTTGTCCTGAGTAGCCTCCCTTTTCTTTTTTTTAAAACGCCTTTTCTTTGTTCTTTCTGGGAATGCTCCGCCTTCTGCGGTCCAAGGTCAAACGCTGGCCAGGCTGCTCCTTGCCCTAACTCAGACGCCTCTCCCGGGAAAGGGGTTTGCAAGGCAGCTCCCCGAAGCCCCCTGCTGCCCCTTCTCAACCCTGTTCAACAGTGTTTGCTGGAACCTTGGATTGGGGGGTTCTTCCCACATCTCAAGGAATGCAAAGTTCTTCCCAAATTTGTGAAACATAAATGGGACTCCCTGAATGTGAAACGCTCCTTGGGAAAGGTAGAGGGAACGGGAAGAAGATGGATTCGAAGGACAACACAGAGGCAGGTGTACCGCCCCCTGCGGTGTGACCTCTGGCAGCTGCTTCCTCGGTGGTCTCTTTCAAGCATTGGCCAGGTGGCCCTTTCTAGCTCTTGGAGCCTAGTGACTGTCATGAAAGCTTACCACGGAAGATGACCCTGGAGGGCCTGGGGTCGTCCAGTCTCCCGTCAGGGAGCCAGACCCTGGGAACTTTGCTGCCTTTAGGGGCCGGAGCTTTTCTGTCCCATCTTCAGGGGTGGGGCGGCCACAGGCTTGCTGTGCTGTGTCTCTGTAGGTTGCGGTGGGGGTGGGGGCAAGGTCTGGCTGTGGCAGCGTGGAAACAATGAGGCAGACGGTGTCTGGCCTCCATCTCTTCTCTGGGGGCCCCGTTGCCTCTCTCCGGCTCACTTTGAGCTGATCGCAGTAGGCAGCAGGCTGCCCTGGGTTGGTCCCGTATGAGCTCTCCCTCTCTCTGTATGAGCTCTCCCTCTCCCTGTAGAAGTGAATGACCTGGCTTCCTTCTGCTCACCACATCCTTCTTTCTTATCAGAACCCCGCCCACTTGCTTCATTATCTGCTCCTGGAGGGAACGTACCTTTCTTCTGCCTGGGATCACTTTTACTAGACCCCAGCCACAGCGAGTGCTATGATGCTTCTAATCTAGAATAACTCACAGGTGGTCCTGCCTGTGGCCACTGAGGTTCTAAGCCAGTAGGGACAGACAGTTGCATATTATTTTGGTTATCCAATCAAATATACATCAGAAATGCCTGCTCTGTGCCAGATGCTAGGTCAGGTCCTTCAGGGTCACAGAGATGGATGAGGCCTGTCCTATGGAACTCTCCTTTAATTGGGCAGAGGTGACTGAGAGTGGCAATCCACGCATGAAAGGCTGTGCCTGATGGGTCCTAAGAGCGGTCCGGTGGGGTCACGGCTGCACATTCATTGTTTGCTCAGTGGACCCCTGCTGAGCCCCCACCACGTGCACAGCACTGGCCCAGGCGATGGGAAACCTCCGAGGAGAGTGGGCTTCCGACAGCCATCAGGCGTGAGAGGGGTGCGATGCAGTACCTGCTCTGTCCTCAGGGTGCGCCCTGGACTCCATGGTGGGAATGCTGGTGGGAATGCATGGAAGGATCTGCCGCACTCTTTCCTTGCGAGATCGCAGTCCGGTGGTGGAGACAGATATGCCAACAGACTGCTCGAAAATAATATAGCAAGTGACATGGGAAGTGTAAACTCTTACCACTCTGTGACCTCTGGGGAAGCACCGAGCCTTGCTGAGACTCAGTTTTTTCATCAGTAAAGTGGATGGATTAACAGGGTTCTCGTGAGGATTAAGCTCATGCAATGTGCACACAAGAAGAACTCTGTGAACTAGCTGCTATTACTGTTACTTGAAAGCTATGCCTGTATAGGAAGATTCATCTAGCGGCCTTGCTTATTGACGTGGAATGCTGCTGCTCTGAGCTCATGTGATGATCGCTCCATGCTACTTCCTGGTAACCACCTGCTCTATTCCAGGGCCCAGGCAGGGAAACTGAGGCCTCCTGGGTCTGCTCTGGCTGTGAGACCTCTCCCAGATGGGACACCGAAGTGCATGCCACCTTGTCATTTCTGCTGGTCAGCTAGAGGCGGGGCCCCGGAGATGCCAGGGTCTGTCTGGGCACCTTAGAAAGGCACAGGGGCAGGTCCTGGAGTCAGGCAGCCCTGGCCAGAGTAGACAGCGAGCTAATTCCAGTTCTGTCTGGTTCCACAGAAACTCCACCCTTATGGCTCTCTCCAGCAGGAGACGGGGCCTGCCAACTCAACCAATGCTACCCAGGATAGAAGCTTTACCTCATCAGGACAGACTCTGATTGGCTGAGCAAACCCAAGGGCGGGACTCTGCTTCTGGCAACTTAACCCTTTCTTGGGCATCCCCTACCACACAGTAACCTCACCTCAACTGGACCCAAAACGGAGGACCAAGATGGTGGGCCTAGGGTCATCTGAAGGGAGTGGCCCCACGGGTGTGTGTGGACCGGCATCACAGAGGCCCTGTGGGCACACGCAGACTGGCATCAGAAGGTCCCAAATGGAGAAGACTCAAACTTGTTCCCTACAAGGAAGGAGGAGAAGACGTAGCATCTGGGCTCCCTGTGGTTCCAGTGCCTGCCTAGGGGGCAACAGGAGAGAGGTTGGCAGAGGGCAGCCCTGTTGGAGAACCAAGTCATCGTCCTCCACTGCCAGAAGATATCTCCACTCATTCACTTAGTTTTCATCTGTACTCATTCATTCATTTCTTCATTCAGCGGATATTTTGGGGACATCCACTTTATGCCAGGCTCTGGGCTAGGAGCTGGGGATTCTGTGGAGAACGAGGTGGTCACGGCCCCCGATTTTATCAAGATTTCAGTTCCTGTAGGAGAGGGAGCATTAAATAGATCAACACCAACACATACACACATGCACACACGCGATTACAAACTGATCACCTATGAAGACAAAGATCCTTTTAAGAGAGAATATTATTTAGATTACTGTGGGGGGGGGGTTGTGGGAGGGGGATGGGCAGGGACTCTATCATAACTTTGAAGTTGAGACCTGCAGGCCAGCAAGGGGTTAGCCAGTCAAAGACTTTGGAAGGAGTGTTCCAGCAAATGGAACAGCCCGTGGAGAGTACCTGAGATGGGAAGGAGCTTGGCGTGTTGGGACCAACAGAGGCCAGGCCAGTGTGGCTGGAGATGAGTGGTGAGGTGGACCAGGTGTATTCGTTCTCGATGCAGTGGGAAGCCATTGGAGGCTTTGAGAAAGGGAGTCAGTCTCAGGTACATTTCTAGAAGATCAGAGGGCCCAAGGAGGCACCCAAGCCGGTGTGAAGAGATCAGTTAGGGGGTCCCCTCATTCTTCCAGGTGAGGGGCAATTGTGGCCTGTCCTGGGTAGTGCTTGGGGAGGTAGGTATGTGAATTTCTAGACCCTCAGATACAGTGGAGGCCCTGGGATGAGAAGAGAGGACTCCCTGCCCCCCATCTCCCCTTGTTCTCCTCTACTTTGTCTTGCTCTCTCAGTGACCTGCTAGGACCTACTAAGGGACAGTGATTGGAGCCCAGCCGGCTCACTGCCTGGAGCCCAGGGTTGGATAGCTCTCATTCCCTTCTCTAACTGCCAAGACCTAGAGGGAGGGAAGCCCAAGGTCACGGGACTGAGTGACAGAGCTCGTACACAAAAGATACATATAGGAACCATGGTCACCTGCATAGAAAAGGGGGTCAAAGAGGCTAGAGAGATAGCTCAGACCAGAAAAGCCCCTGGACCTTGGTTGGTCTCTACATAGCATCCTAGAAGACCTTCTCAGTGTCTTTAGAGAGGGCTCTTATGCCTGGTGAGGATGCCCAGCTGCTGGGGCCACTTGAACTCCAAGAAGGATGGCCCAGAAGAGAATATGTCCGTCACCTCCTATTTAGGCAAGATCAGACACCCCCTGAACAGGGGATGGGATGAATCTGCCAGCCACCAGGCCAATGCCCCCACCCAGCAGGGGATTAGGCTGGGCCTGCGGCGGGGCAACTGATACCCAGCATCTGTCGGCCAGGACTCAGCCCGCAGGGTTAATTCTGAGAGGCGGAGTGGCTGCCTCCATACAGACAGCAAGCTGCACTTTGATTTCATTTGATTCCCTTATAAAATGACATTAAGGGGAATGTGAGGCCCAGGAGACTCGCCTGTCTGGGAAGGCAGCAAGCTTGACTCTCCCGGACCTGGTGACCTACCTCTGTCCACCAGACAGGTGCAGAGGACAGGCGCTCTGGCCACAGTGAAATGGAGAATCAGAACACAACCCGGAGCCCTGGGGACAGGGCTTTCCTCCCAGCCGGTCCCAACACGCTGCTGACTTGGGGTGCTAGTCCTGGCTGCTGCTGGGGGGCGTGGACGTCAGCTCCTAGAGGGCCTGGGCTGGTCTTCCCGGTGACTGTGGTGAGCCACAGCGCCGCTGCTGCTCTGCCTCTTCAATCAATGGGACAATTCATTTGGCTTCCTGGGCTGGAGAAGATGAAATATGAGCGGGTGGCTGCTGCTCCTCGGCATCGCGGTCCGTCCTAGCCATCCAGGATGATGCACACCCTATCGAAAGTGCATCGGAGAGTCATGATCACGGGAAACATGGCTGGGCCCCGCCCTCCACATAAATCATGCTGAGAAGCCTACACAATGGTCTCCTTCCTGACGGTCCAATTGTCTTGCTTTGGTGTCTGGGGCCGGGGAGCCGGGGAGGATGGGAGCACAACCATTTATTGTTGAAAAGGCCATCTGTGCGATTTGAATACAAAGTGATCCCTTAAGTTCCCTTCACACCCTCTGATCCCATTTTTCATGCTCGATTGTGTCTCAGGCACTGGGTCTTTTGAAACTCTGACTCTCCTGTAAGCAGCCATGCCCAGTCACTGCTGGCCTGGCCTTTTGACCCTTTGGGAGCTGGAACCTCTTGGAAATCATGATGACATTTATTTATGTATATCTTTTTAAAACATTCTTTATTTAAAATATTTTTTGTTAAGTTCTGCCACCCAAGCCCTCATCTCTCACACACGGCACCAGTGGGGTCTGCCAAGTGAAGGCAGAGGGAATTTGTGGGAGGGGTCCCCACAGGGACAGTAGGGGCTTCCGAGATAGTGACTGGGGTCCCCAGGCATCATCTCCCCAGGCCACCAGCAGCCTCGCTGTACAGATGAAAGGGATTAAGACTCGGAGGAGTTAAATGATTTATCCAAGGTCACACAGCTGGTTTGAGCTTGTCTTCAAACCAAAGCCTTTCAAACCTAACCCACTGCTCTTCCCAGATGCAAAGTTCTGGTTCTTAGGGATGGAAGTAGAGAAATCAATCGTCTTCTTCTGGAAGAGGCAGGGGGAAGATATCCTTCAAATAGAAGCCATGGTCCTTTAAGCTCTGGAGCAGATCGTTTAGGACAAATTAACGGGATGTCTTCTCCATGCAGGGGAGAATAAGCTTCCAAAGTTTGGATGTCTGAGGGGTGGCTCAGAAACGCTCAAGAGCTTCACGCCAGATTTGATATGAAAGGCAGGGTGGAGCTCCTTAAGACAGGATCACAGGGGCCCTGGGACCTGTGGGCTGATGGCCCTTCCCCTTTTGAGTCTGGTGTTCAAGAGAATCAGCAGACACGGTGTTGGGTGCCTAGCAACGATGGAACTGTGGCCAAAGGCAGAAAGGGATGGCTTCAGGTTCAGGACCTGGTATGCTTGAGCATGAGTCTTGGAAGCTGGCCTTTGACTTAAGCAGAATCTTCTCTGTGTCGTGGGCCCAGATTTTACTAATTGACTGGCTCCAAGTCTCAGCCCAAAGTGCCTGGGAATCAATTGGACTGGATTTCAGATACCCCCTCAGAAAGCAGGCTCTTTTCCCTGAAAGGCTCAACCGTTTTCCAACCTCTCTAGCTTCCCTGTCTTTCCTGCTCGAAACCCACCTGGCGATGGACAGACCACCTGCTTCACTGTCTTGCTCTTCGCCTCAGCTATGGTGCTATTCTTGTTTGCTTTTAATGAAGACAGCACAACCTTACCTTCCATCCTCTCTTGACCTTATCTTCCCTCAAGCCTTTCTCTGAGCCGAGCTACCATCCTGCAATTGGCTTAAGGGCAGACTACTAACACTAGATGATTTGGGGAACAGTTATACTATGATCTGTGTTGTCTCTTTAATCCTCACTATGGCCTCATGAGGTTTATTGTCCCCATTACACATCTACTCTTGTATCTACCATTACACCCAGCTGGTAGATAAAGATGCCGAGTCTTAGAGACGTTAAGGAACTTGCCCAAGGTCACACAGCTGAGAGGCTAGGATTGGGACAGGGCAGCCCAGCTCCAGAGCACCTGCTTTTGATTGCTCCGTGCTCCTGCTTCCCGGCAATCACAGGCTGTCTGACCTGCACCCAGACCACGTGGGACGCTGTTGTCGAAATAAAGCCTAGGTCTCAGCGTGGACCGCAGGTCTCTTCCTGGGCACCCTGTACTCCTGCTTTGTGGTTGCAGCCCAGCCACGCTGCATGATTTCCCCTTCTCCTAACTCCCTGTGCACATTCACATTTAGGTGTTTCTTCCTACCCAAGGTCGCCCACCCTCTGCTGTCCCTGTAAGATGCAATCCCCAGCCTTTAAGGTCTGGCCCCTCTCTTGAGACACCTTTTCCAGGCATGCACCAGAGGTCATGGCTTCCTTCTCTGGCTCCCATGGGATTTGTTCATCCTTAGCACAGGGCGTTAAGCAGACGTGTCTTATCTGCAAGACTCTGAGCTCCTCGGGAGCCAGTGGAGGGCATAATCTTATTTATTTCCTATTCAGTTACTGCCCCATCCTTAGTACAGGCTCAGTAGACGTTGTAGAATTGAATTGGGTCATATGAGTCAAGCTTCTCATGTTCTAGAATTTAAATGAGGAAACTGAGGCTCAAAAAAGGGAAATGACCTGGCTGCAGTCATGGGACAAGTTAGTGGCCAAGGGTTCCTGACGCTCTTGTTCAGAACTTTCTCTGTTGTACCTCCAGTTTGTGAGACCAGGGCCCAGGTCCCTATTCGGCTTATTAAGCCATCTGGCCAGGTTCATTTCAGGGTCATGGATACTACTGTATTCCATGCTGACTCCTAGCATCCTCGGAGGCAAAGGAGAATTGACCAGAACTGCTCCCATGACTCTCTTCCCCAGGTCTGTGGGGCTTAGGGAGAGGGGAGGTTTCCCTGAAGGTCTTGGTTTGAATCCTGATTTTGCTGGTAACTCACTGTGTGACTTTGGGCAAATCACTTTATCTCTCTGATCATCTCCTTTCTTTACTGAGAGAAACCAGGGAGTTGAATGTAGGTGATTTACAAGAGTCACCTTCAAAGCCTCAGGACTTTAATAGCATGTTAAGGAAGAAAGAAAACAGACATTTTGGTCTTCACATTGAAATAAGAGTGTATGCACCTGGATATATACAAATGCTATATACAAGGCTGATATATACCACGTACTCATGACACATAGGTATACTTGTGGATTTTGTAAGGGAAGGGTCCGCATTACCGGTACACACCTTATAAACACACCCCTGCCTCCTCCCTACCCAGAGATGCCTCCTTCCATGCTGGCTCCTGGGAAGCCAGTTACAAGGAGCATTCCAACCCAGAGTCTTCCCCTCTTCCTTCTTCCTTTCTACTCACTGCACTCTTTTGTTTGAACTTCACATATATACGTACGCATGTGTGTTCTTTAGCCTTCCCAACTACTGAGGTTATGGCCTAAGGCTAACTTTCAAGTGAAATTTATGGTAATCAATACGTAGTGCCTTTTGTTTCTCATGTGGTCAGAATCTCCTTTGGACTCTTCCCCCGAAGTCACCATTGACTTGTTTCATTGCCTTTAATGTACATCTTCTTTTACTCAAAAACTACTCCAGGTAAATTTTCTAAAACAGCGTCTTTTAAATGTTCACGTTTTTTCCGTTCTGTTGGCCCTTGTGGAAGAGCGTTAAGGGTGGGTTCAGGGGGCTAGCCTAGGAAGCTGACCACCATTTATAACAGTGATTTCAGTGGGAAAATGCATTCTGAGACCCTAATCAACTCTCAGATGGACTTTGGGAACACAACTCAGCACATATCCCAAAGCAGGTGAATATATTGTTTGTTTTATGAGTGACTAGAATTTTGATAGAACCGTAGACCCTGGGAACATGGAATCGAAAATCATGCCTCTTCTTACACCAAGATGAACTGATTAATAAGCTGATTTATAGAAACCAAGACCAGGTTGGGGTACCTGGGGAGCTCAGTCGGTTGAGCGTCCAACTTCGGTTCAGGTCATGATCTTGCGGTTCGTGGGTTTGAGCCCCGCATCGGAGCCTGCTTCAGATTCTGTGTCTCCCTCTCTCTCTGCCCCTCCCCCACTCATGCTCTGTCTCTCTTGAAAATAAACATAAAAAAGAAGAAGAAGAAGAAGAAAAGAAACCAAGACCAAGAGAGGGGTAAGGACTTGGCCAAAGGCCAAGCAGTTGGTCTAGAATTGTAAGTAGGATGCAAACCCCTAGCTTCTAGGCCAGTGTTCCTCTCTGGTGACTTTTGAAGATTCAGCCAGGTGGACGGTGGGGAGGGGCACAGATTGTCCTAGAGATGCTCCCCTTGTCTCACTCAGCTGTGTTGTCATTAGGAAAAGTAAGTCACCACTTCGGGCTGTAATGGAAATAGTGAGAAACGATCCAGCTCATGGCGGGGGAAGAGGCCGTCTAGTCAGCTGGCTGGTCTGTAAATTCCTGGTGTGTTCTTGCTGGAGCGGAATGAATGGGGCTGCTGTTTTACCTGGAGCTCTGGGCCTGGCCGGGCTGGTGGAGATGCTCCCTGTGGTCTGCTCTAAAAATAGCGGTGGGAATGTAGCTGAGGGGAAGAGGAGGGGGCTCCTTTGGGAGCTGGGTGGGGCGCCTCACCCCCTTCCTCTTCCTGCCAGGCCCTATGTGAGGAAGGGCCGTAAATTCAGAGGGCTTCGATCTGGGAGGGTCCAGGAGCCGGCAGCCCTCACACTCCGTCGTGCAGGCCCAGAGAGGGGAAGGCCTGGCCAGTGGTCCCCGAGCCCAGGGAGAAGGTCCGAGCTGGCAGACTCTCCTGCTGCTTTAGCAGGGCAGCCGCGGGCCTTGGGAGGTTTCTCTCACTGCCTCTGGGCGTGCACAGGGCCTGGGAACTCCTGGGGCCGGATGTGGTTGGGCTTCCTGAAAGTCGCCCGGCAGGCGAGCAGTACTGACCAGTCTGCCCCAAGCCCTGACCTCTGCCAGCTGGCCTTCCCTCTGCCGGCGTCCCCACCCTTGCTGACCTGTTCTTCTGTCGCCCCCTGGACTGTCTGCAGGGATGGTGGACACGGGCCTATAGGACAGAGGGCCGGCCAGCTCGGAACCCTTCTCTGCCCTTCCTCAGGAGCCAGCAGACCCAGATGAGGTAGAGGCAGGGAGCTGGGTTCAAACCCCAGCTCTGCTTCTCACTAGCTGTGCAATTACTGGTGGATCACGCAGCACCTGCCAAATGCTGACAGGAGTCTTGTGAGGATTAGAGGGGATGGTCTGTGCCAGTGCCTGGCATGCGGTAGGTACTCAGTAATGGGGCCACTGCCAGATCAAGTATGAACACCTGCTTGACTTTCTGCAACCCCCTTTCTTGGGGCTTCTTCCAATGGAGGCATGGCAGAGGTTTTCTTTTTTCTTTCATTGTTGTTGTTTTTAAATGCAGTTGACTTTTGTTGTGCTGTTACAAAACTGCTTCATGTTTGTTATGAAGAAAACATTTCATACAGTTGAACCAGGAGAAGGAAATGAAGTTCACT